CGGGGCCCCCATGGCGCCACCGCTGGCCGGTCGGGGGCCGTTTCGGCGCCCTTTCCGGTCTGCCTCGCCTTCAACAGCGCGGCCGGCTGCAGCCGTCTGTCCTGCCGCTACACCCATGCCTGTCGAGCATGCCGCGGCTCTCATGCCCTGCCCTCATGCCCCCGCCGGCCCGCCACGGCCCTCCCGGGTCCCCGCCGCCGCGACCGCCAGTGAGGCCCCCGCCGTGCCCCGGTCGATCCCGCCTGACCGCCTCCAACGGCTGCTGTGCGGCTACGACCCCGCCAAGGCCGAGGTGCTCGTCGCCGGGTTTCTGTTAGGATTTGAGCTGGGAGGCGTCGATGTTTCCCCCGGTGATGCAGAACTCAATCTCCCTTCCTGTGCGCTCGCACCCGAAGTAATAGACGCATACATCGCGGCCGAGCGTCGGGAGGGCAGAATCGCAGGGCCTTTCTCTTCTCCTCCGCCGTGGGTAGTTAAATTCTCTCCCATCGGTCTCATCCCCAAGCGTCAGCCGAATTCATTCCGGGTCATTCATCATCTCTCATTTCCCTCTGGCTCGTCTCTGAATGATTCTATTCCCCCGGAAGCCACCCACGTTCAGTATGGCTCTGTCGAAGAAGCTCTCCATCTTGTTGACTCGTTTCCGACCCCATTTCTCGCCAAAACAGACATTGCCAGTGCGTTTCGGATGGTCCCGGTTCGGACTGCCGATACGGCGATGCTGGGTTTCCGCTGGCGTGGGCAGGCATATGTTGATCTGTGTCTACCCATGGGCTGTGCCAGCAGCTCTCGTATTTTTCAATCAGTCAGTGATGCCCTCGTTTGGATTGCACAGACCAAATTCGGATCGGGCCCTATCGTCTCTGTTCTGGACGATTTTCTGTTCGTAGGCGGCTCGGTGGATGAGTGTCGCCGATCCCTGGCGGGGTTTCAAGCCATGTGCCAGTCGCTCAACATCCCGCTCCGTCCTGACAAAACCGTCGATCCCTGCCGGTCCCTGACGTTCCTGGGCGTTATCATTGACGTCGCGAGTGGGCAGCTGCGCCTCCCGCCAGGCAAAATCGAGCGTGCCCGCTCATGCCTGACGGGGCTGCTGGCGCGCCGAAAAGCGCCTCTCCGTCTCGTGCGTGAGTGCACTGGGCTCCTGAGCTTTGCGTGCATCGCCATGCCGCTCGGCCGGCCTTTCCTGCGGCGCCTGTTTGACCTGTGTCGCGGCGTGTCACGGCCACATCATCGCGTCACCATTACTCGTGCCTCCCGGCTGGACATGCGTGCCTGGCTGCTGTTCCTCGCTCAATTTCACGGCCGCTCCTTGCTGGATCAACGTCGCTGGCTGCGCGAGCCGGGGCTCCTAATCGAAACCGATGCCTCCACCTCATTCGGTCTGGGTGCGGTGTGCGGTGCCACTTGGCTGCTGGGTCCGTGGCCGGCGTCCCTCCGGGCGGCACCCATTTGCGTTCTGGAACTGGTGGCAGTGGCGGTGGCTATTTATGTGTGGCGTGACCGCTTCGCTCATCGCTGCGTTATTGTCCGCTGCGATAACTCGGCTGTCGTGGCCTGCATCACGGCTCAGTCGTCCCGCTCGCCGCTGATGATGCAGTGGGTTCGCTTTCTATTTGTAACCACGGTCACTAACGACATCCTCATTCGCGCGGTCCACACCCCTGGTGCCGAAAACGCAGCCGCTGATGCCCTGTCCCGTGGTCTTGTGCAGGTCTTCCGGGCGCTGCGTCCCCAAGCCGACGGTGCGCCGACAACATGGGACTGGCCGGTCTGCGGCACGCTGCAGACGTCGCCGCACTCGCCGAGGCCGCCCTCGCCCCTGCCACCGTGAGAGCGTACCACGCCGTTTGGCGCCAGCTGCGGACCTTCCTGCAAATTCCACCGACGGCCGTCGTCTTTCCCGTGTCAGTGGCCGCCACTGCAGATTTTCTTGCCTCCCGCCATGCCCAGGGCTGTCACTCTGCCACCCTCGCCGCCGCCGCCTCCGCAATCGCCTACGGCCACAAGCGGGCCGGTCTGCCCGACCCTACCGCCGACTTTCGAATTCGTCAGCTACTGGCTGGCTCTCGGCGCCTCCGGCCCGGAGCCGACCAGCGCATCCCCCTTTCCCTTAATGAGATCGGGCTGCTCTGTGGCGCTCTCGCCGGTCTCAACCTATCTCCCCTCGAGCGCGCTGCTTACCGGGCTATTTTCCCGCTAGCCTTCTTTGCCCTGCTGCGGCCAGGCGAAGTCGTGGCCGGCAGGTCGGTGGCGCACACTCTGCGTCTCGGCGGCGTTTGCATCAATGCCTCTGAACTCTCTGTCACGATCCCGTCCTCCAAGACGGCCGCCGCTCCCCAGGTCATCTCCCTCACCGCCCGGCCTGACATCAGCGTGTGTCCCGTCGCCGCGCTCCGTGCATACTTATCTCTGCGCGGCGTCGGGCGGCCGCAGGACCCCCTGTTCATCGGTGACCGTCAGCGCCCGGTAACAGCCCCGGCCCTCACTCGGGTTCTCCGCTTAGCGGGTCGCGCGATCGGCCTCGATGTAGCTCGCCTTTCCGGCCACTGTCTCCGTATCGGAGGCGCGTCCCATGGCGCCTCGGTCGGCATGTCTGAACTGCAGCTGTGTCAGGCGGGACGCTGGTCCTCCCGTGCCGTCCGCCGCTACGTGCGTCAGCCGGTCTCCGTCCTCCAGGCGACCTAAACTACCGGAGGTCGCGCTCGGCGAGCCCGTGCCACGCCCCCTGATAACCCAGACGCCGTTATTCCGGCCGCCGATCGCGTACGTCGCTCGCATAGCCCAGTTTCAGCGCTCGGACTGCCCGTTTACGTTCCACCCTGTGCGACCACTGCCCTCGTGGCGGAGCGGCAGCCTTCGCTGCCTGTTTGATGGTCCAGCAGGATGGTCCGCCGCCTCCGGCGGAGCGGGAGTCACGCCCAAGGTGTCTCACCATCTTGGTCCTCTGCCTCGGTGCGTGCATCTCCGACGTGGCGTGTCTGTCGGTGCTTGTGTGTTTTCCCTTTTTGTTTCGTTTTAGTTTTTTTTTGTGCCCGCTGCCTGTTATCGGGCCGGCAGCGATCCCCCGCGTCGTGCGTAGCGGTGGCCGGCGGCCGTTTCGGGGCCGCGAACTGGACCGCCGCCTACATGCGGAGCAGCAGCCCCGCTGCCTGTTTTGTGGTCCAGCTCGTCGGCCCCCCACGCCCCTCGGCGTAGCGGTCGCCGGCTGCCTGTTTTAGGGTCGCTACCGGCCGCCGCCCCTGGCGGAGCAGCAGATGGTCGCTAACCGGCGTTCCACAGGCCGTAATGTTTATCGTTCGTATATATGTGGCACGCTACCTATTATCCCTTTCTGTTAGAACCGTATTCTCCGCCGCTTCCGGTCTCGGGTGGGGGAGATGGGCGGTTACCCTCGCCCAAAGACATGGGTGGAGGGGCACCAGTCCAATACATTGACCCGTGACCACCAACGATGTCTTTGCGAGCGCAAGCGGACGGAGAAATGCACGTTTGGCTCGACTAGCCGCAACAGCGGCGGTCGGGCCAACGACCTTTCTCTGGCTGCGAGCGAGCGCCATCTACGCAGCCGGGTGCGGCGCGCGTCAGTGTGCGTCTGCTCGCGTCGACGAGCGCACGCAAGTGTTTTACCGCCGCCACCCCGCCACCGCCGCGTTACATGTCCCATTTCTCCATGTGAGTGTTTCCCTTGGCTTTGTATTGGTCTCGTGTGTACGGCGGTTACCCTCGCCCAAAGACATGGGTGGAGGGGCACCAGTCCAATACATTGACCCGTGACCACCAACGATGTCTTTGCGAGCGCAAGCGGACGGAGAAATAAAGATACAGATTGCATCGGTATACTTTGAACACGGACAAGCAGAGAGTCGCGCTTCAAAGCGAAATATCATCCATCAGTCATTGTATAAAGAACGCCACTGTGGCAGCGGCCTCCAGCCAGCGGGGATAACCCGTTCCCAGGGAACCGGACGCGCGTGCCTCCGCGGGCACAGCGCCCATCCAGGGAATACAGCAGTCCACTTAACACCGATGGGCAATTTCTGCGTCAAATGGACCCGTCGCTGAGTGTTATAAGACATCAAAGGCGGCTGGACTTGGTGACAGCCGGCAATTATTTAATTTTTACCTCTCCAGGCCTCGTAAATTACAAAGCTGCTCCTCATCTCGAAGTAGCGAAGCAATCAGCTGTATTCCCGGGTGGTGTGACGGCGAGTCACGTGTATCCCTCATATGGGTAACTCACTGATTATGGTTGGTCCAAATATACCTACACAAAAATATATAAAAGACCCGGCATCTGAGGAAAATAACTGATGCAGATAACTGTTGTGGACTCAAATTACTCAGAAAATAAACGAGTCAATGTGTCGAGAACATCGGCGAATAACGCTCAACCATAGCTCAACCCGTGCTATTTTCATCAAGCATGTTAATTAAACGATTTTGATGCAATAACATTTATAAAGACCTTTTTTATAAAGGTGAGTGTTTATCAAACATCCTATTCCGTACTCCGTTGTTCTAAAGAGCCTAGCCGGCAATTTTCCATACCCGCAGTGAAGTCCCTCTAACTGCTTGGTGAATTAGCTCACAACCAGCCGCAGATTTACCATGCGTGATACACCCAGTAACCGACCAGCTCCCGACCAGCCTAAACCACATCACCGTCCAAATTGAGCTGCCGTCGCACGTCGCCTTCTGTGGACCCATTTCCTAGGATTACGGCGATAATCGCTGCTTACGAGCGTGACTGCCCACGCGCCTTCTCCTGAGGACCTGCGGTGCCCTGAGAGCGGGACCTATGGTGCCCCTGGGAGCGGGATATATAGCGCCCCTGGGAGCGGGACCTATGGACTGCCCTGGGAGAGGGACTATGGTGCCCCTGGGAGTGCCCCTACATAGCGGACTATATAGGACCCCTATATAGTCCCAGGGACCTATAGTGCCCCTGGGAGCGGGTCGCCGGCAGCGCGAGGACCCGTCCCCGGCTCGTCTCTCACCGAGATGCCGTTGTAGGACTGGCCGGTGACGCTCTGACTGGACTGCTTTGCCAGGAACTCCATCAGCTTCTCCTTGGCCTGGCGTTCGGCGACGCGGGCCTTGTACAGGTCCTCCTGGGAATCAGAGACACATGGACCGATCAGAATAAAGCGAAAAAGCATGTATTGACTGCTGACATATTATGTTTATTGTCGGCTGTATCATATACAAGTCGTCAAATGAATGGCTTCATAGAACTTCCCATAATGCTTATTGAATCACCGCAGTGAACCAAGTATTTGTTGTGTACTTAGCATCCATTAGTGTAACATGCATTTCCCATCAAATCAGCGGTCCGACCTCTAGGACCGATCTTCTGTATTTGTCCAACAGTCGGCGGCCGACCGGAGTTACGGTACGCTAACGGGTGTTTTGGTCTCACTCTCTGCGGACCGGCATACCGCGGCAGTCTAGGAGTGGCTGGGCTGATATCTCCGCCGACCAGCAGCGCAGAAATGGCTGGACTGGGGTATCTACCGACTGGGCTGGGGTATCTACCGACCGGCTTAAGGCATCTGCCACCCGACAGCACGGGAATACTGGGCTAAGGTACCTATTTAGCCATCGTCAATATGTACAGACTACAGGGGGTGACTACACTGATTTTTCCACCGACTGGCAGCTCTGGATTGGCTGGCCTCGGCGCTGGGAAGGCTGGGCCGCGCCGTCCGCCCACTGTCAGCCCGTCGCCGTAATGGTATTGATGACCGAACGGGGCACCACCCCCGGGACCGACGTGCACTCGCCGACACCGGCGTTCAAAGTTCAACGCCTCGCCAATGCGAGGATACGTCTCAGCACGGAGCGCGGCGGGCACAGAACGAGGCTCTAAGTCTGCCGGAGCGGCTCGGCGCCGCCGGCCGGCGCCCCAGCGCGGTAATTAATTCCAGCGGTGACGCGCAGACGAGAGTTATCTCGAATCGGTCCCAGACCGGGCGCGTCTCACACAGACGGACGAGCCGGGTGCTGAGCGCCGTGCCGGAAGCTGCCAGCCGGGTGCAGACAGCGCGGCGGGCCGCTCGGCGAATCGCTGCGCGGCGGTTGTAATAACTACTCACCTTCAGCCGATCTGCTTCGTAGGACCTGCGCTCGGACTCCTCCACCACGCGAGCGGCGATCATCTCTGCTTCGCGCACCTTCCGCTCCAGCAGGTACTTCTCCTCCTCAGTCTGCAGGGTCAGAGGTCAGGTCAGACGGGTCACATGGTCATACGATCAGCCATGCCAGGAGTCACACGGGTCACACAGGTCAGTCATGTTTAATGGCAACGGTCACAAAGGTCACACAACCAGCCATACCACCCAGGACAAATCATATACAGGGTGATTTTTTTTAACTGTTAAAAAGTAAACGTCAATGGTGGTCCCTAAATCGAAAAATCTTGTGCAAAAAAGCAATGCACGTGATAGATAAATCTGGGACATTTTGTAAGGTGTCATGATTTGTCCCTTTTAACCGAAGGCCTCGGATCCAATGGAGCCTGAAAATGTCCCACCAATCGGGCACGCATGGTCCACCGCCGTTCAGTAAGGAACGACACAAAACGATGATTTTGAAGCATTGAGGCAGTTCGAAGCATACGATCATCAAGGAGATACCTCAGAAAGACGTTAAATAATGCACGAACGAGCTTGTATTCATAAATAGCCTTCAAACGGTCCATCTGGCGTATGTGCAGCCTCTGAAGAATCAGTCTTCAGGGAGAAACAAAAACAGCGAATCAGACACCACCAGGGCCGCCAGTAGCAAAATCCTCGACCTGCCCTTTCTAGACTTCTAGTTTTTGGACCCAGGTATGGCAGATATAACAAGAAAACGTTGGAAATATCTGGCAGAGCTGAAAATGGGTGATAGGAGCCTTTGCAGTCCGCCTAATGAGTATGGGAGTCCATGGTGCTGTTTAACACGTGCTCAGGCGGGCTGATTCGTGTCGGTGAGAGAGGGGGCAACTTCAAGCACAAGTAAAATACACGATGGACGTTCCTTCACATCGTGTCTGCATGAAATCAAAATGTCCCAGAATGCTCGTCATGCTGGTATATAATTTTACAATATATATTTGCATTTTAATGCCACCAAACCTCATTACTTTTTAACAAGTAAAAAAAATCACCCTGTAGGTCGGCCAGGTCAGATGTCACAGGCCACAAAGGTCACAGCTAGCCATTCCAGCTCAGCTCAGCTCATACAGGTCAGCCGGGTCAAGTGACCCGGCCCGGGCAGAAGCCGCCAGCGAGCTGCCGTCTCAGTGCCGTCGCGCCGTGCTCGGTTTATGGCCAGCCTGTAAAGCCGTCTCCGGTCGTCTCCACACGCCCATTCATCAGGGGGCCTGACGACCGGCCAGAGACGGCCGCCGGATACAGGCCAGCGGCGACGCCAGACGAGCGCGAGCTGTACAATGTGCATCAGGGCATATTTTAAGGATTTTTCACTGCGTCCCAAAGGTGGCATAGGGCACACGCTTTGATCGGAAAGGGCACATTGCAAGCGAAATAGTATATAATGCAAGTGAGATAATGTACAGATACATTGTGACTGTGTATGTACTGTGCTGGTGGAGGGGCACTGCAAGCGGGATATTGGGAGCGGGCTGTTATTGCTTTTGGCCAGTCTCGAAATTCGCCCAGTCGTAGTGCGTTCTTTATCCGCATTCAAAGGGCGGACCGGCGATTTAATGACATTTACATTGTTGTTAGTCACTCGTTTTCCTGAACGGCGTTGGGCGTGTTTGACCTCCCTTGACGCACCAAATTGTACCTATGCTTAGAGAATAAAAATGAATATGCACATGATTAAAATGTGATACATACGTCTCTTCATGCGTTTTTCACCCTTATCAATCGATTCAAAATAGAGGTTGACGTGTGAAACATTGCCAATTTGCATTGAAGATACTATGTGTTTGAAATAATTAGATGACGTAAGGTCAAACAGTACCCACCTAAGTTGTGACAAGAAATCATCGGATTTTAAAGCTACATAAAAAATCCATCATAAATTAATGCTTTGGATGAACGGATGCTTTGGATGCTTCGGATTTCGCTTCCTTACTGCCTATCATGTTATATAACCCAAACTTTTCCCAATGGAAGTTCCTTTGTTTAATTATTATGCCCAGAAATGTGTCGATTTTGTGCCATTTCCGGGCGCTTTGGGGGGGGAGGAGCATGGCCCCGTGGTTCCCTCTATATCCTTCGCCCTGGTGGGGGGGGGCCATTTTGGCCCCCCCTGTGGTTTTTCAGCGATAACTCAGAAACCACTTGAGTTAGCGCCCTGAAACTTTGTATAGCTGTTTATTCAACATTTTTACATCATGTCCTTTTTTTGGGGGTTCGGGTCAGGTCAGGTCAGGTCACAAGGTCACCAAAACTGACACCACCTCTAAAAAAGTTCAAAGCTCTCTCAAAGGCACAGCTTTTATCCGATCGATGTAAAATTTACAGTACTTGAAGATGTCACCCAGCTCTACAAAATGGCTATCTCGGATTTTTTATAAATGTGACCTAAGGTCAGGTCAGGTCATCGCTGCTCCCCATTATAAGTCAATGGGAGAATCGAAAAGTAGTTGTTTTTCAGCTAAATCGGGCGTGATTGTTCCTATATTTCGTTATTGAAGTGTCTTGGGTCAGCAAATCACAGCCCATGTGAAACCATTTGCTTGTGACCTCGCTGAGGTCACGCTAGGTCATCTCCCTGGTCACCAGAGGTCACCAGCGGTTTTTCTGCACTTACTTGTTATTGAATAGAGATAGAGACTCCGTTCGACGTTTATCGTGTTTGTCTCGTCAATGCGGATCGAATGATATGCAGCATGACCTATTTCGGTAAGGTCATGACCTTGACCTGAGGTCAAATTTTCAAAATGACCTTTCGAGGTCAAACTATATATCATTCGACGCGTCTCGACGAGCCAAGCACGATGGTGCATGAATCGTTTCTCTATTTTCTCGTGAATGCATGCTATAGTTAAAAACATTTTCAACGAAATTTGCCAAGTTGACCTTGCATGACCTCTGTAGGCCAAACCGTTGAGCTGAGGTCAAATCTGACGAACCTTGGCGAAAGAGCTTGAAAAGAGCTATCGATTGCTTTTTTCCGCGGCTCTCTAGCTCTTCTAGTTTCCGAGCTACAGCGGAATATGTCCGGCAACACCGAAAACACTGAAATTTGACCTATGATGACCTCTAGCGACCTCAATATTGACCTTAGCGAAAAAATGACCGAAATACTTTCGAACGTACTTGTTATGGGCTTTCGTTTGCTTTTTTCCGCGTCTTCCTAGCACTCTTCGTTTTCGAGTTAGACGGGGGGGGGTCATTTTGGCCCCCCCCCACCAGGGCGAAGGTGGCTCAGACCCACACCAGGGCGCGGGATATCCTCCTATGGCCAGACGGCCATGACGGCCCTGATCTGACCGTATGCCATCAAATGTCAAACTTCGCAATGATGCGATATTTTTTTCGGAAAACGTGCCGGTATCTCAAAAACTATGATAGCTAGGAGGGCGCAATCGATAGGAGAAAAGCAATCGATATATTTTGAACAGCTCTTTCGTCAATATTTCGTCAGAATTGAGTTCAGATCAACGGTTAAGGCTCCATAGCCAGAAACGGGTAAAATTACAATTTTTGTCAATATAGGTTTCATGAAAAGCTTTTGAACTAAAAAAAGGTAGAGAATTTTCGTTTGCACGATCGTTCTTCTCTCATTTTTACCTCGAAATGTCAAGGTCAGAACTTGACCTCACATTAAGGCCATTTCGTGACCAAGATAGATCATGTCGCATATCAGTCGATGCGTTTCGATGAGGTACCTCAAAACAATGATACAATCCACTGTGCATGCAAAAGCCCTGTAGGGCCGGATTTTGGGCCAGGCTCCGGGCCTGCGGGCTCCAACTTGACATCTCTAAGCAGGACTTTAGGGAAGGGGAGGACACAGAGTCTGAGCCCTAAGGACAGGGCAGGCACAGGGCATGAAGCTAAGATAAGACGGATACTTGAGGGCTGGGTAGGATGCAGGGTCCGAGGGCAAAGCAAGGCGCGGGTCTGAGGCTATCATTACACAAGGCCGGAGAGTAGTGCAAGACACAGGGTCTTAGAACACCTGATGATCAACACACCTGATGGCAGGGCAACACGCAGGATCTTAGAGCAGGGCAAGAAATAGTACCTAAAGGTAGAGCAAGACATAAGACACAGGTATGGCACAAGGCCCGAAACACCGCCCACGTCTTGTCATACCTTCGGGCCCCGAAGGTATGACAAGACGTGGGCGGTGTTTCACGGACGCTGCTATCAAATTCCGCGAGCTGACGTCATACTTGTGGTAGTGTTTGAGCAATGGGCCTGTTGATGTCTCCTTGGAAACCCAATTTGACACGTGTAATAGCAGCGTGCTGCTATCACCGGTGAAACAGGGCCAGGGTATGGGGCCTGAGGGCAGGGCAAGGCTCAGGGCATGAAGTCAGAACAAAGCACGGGTTCTGAGGACAGGTAAGGGCACAGGGCATGAGGACGGGAAACGGCACGGGACCTGAGGGCGGGAGACACCACAGGGCCTGATGACAGGGCAGGGCACAGCGCCTGAGAGCGGGCATGGGACACGAGACCTTAGGGCAATGCAGAATACAGGGCTTGAGGGCAGAGTAGGACACAGGGTCTGATGGCATGGGACGGCACAAAGCCTGACAACAGGGCAGAGCACAGCAACTTAGGGCGAGGCAGGGCACGGGCCTGAGGGCGATACAACGCATAAGGCTTAATGGCAGAATAGGGCACAGGGTCTAAGGGCAGGGCAATGCACAATTATTGCACATTGCACGTGAGGCCAGGAAGCAGAACATGACAGGACAGGGCCTGAGGCAGGGCAAGGCATTAGGCTCGAGGACGGGCGCGGGGCCGGGGCATGAGGACATGGGAAGGCACAAGGCCTGATGGCAGGGCAGGGCACATTACCTGAAGACAAGGCAGCGGCACGGGGTCTGATGGCAGGACGTGTCACAAGGCTGGAGGGCAGAGAAGGGCAGGGGCCCCAAACTAGGGTAGGGCAGGGCACGGGGCCAAAAGACGGGAAGGCAGCGCATCAAATTTCCAGGCAGAATATATAAAGTATCGTGTTTGAGGGCAGGGTAGAGCGGGGCACAGGGCCTGAATGCAGAGCAGGGTACAGGGCCTGAAGAAAGGGCAGGGCAAGGTACAAGACCTTAGGACAGGGCACTGGGCAGGGCACATATCCTAGGGGTATAGTAGGGAAGAACATAAGGTGTATGACCAAGGGTAGGGCAGGGCACGAGGACTGGAGAGGGCATGTATGTGCTTAGGTACATAGTAAATCAGGGCACAAAGCAATCGGAAAGCCAACATCTTTTACACAGTAAAAGACCGAGACATGTTACTTATTTTTGCTAGCACTTTTCGGCTGAAACCGTGGCATTTCAGTGTGGGACGCAGTGGTCCAAATTTCGCGAGGGCTACGTCCCAAAGGCAGGGGGCTGCGTCCCAAAATGGGACGCAGTCAGTATGTTAAAATATGCCCTGATGTGCATGCTGCATTCTCTCAATGCGACCCTCCGACGGCGCACCAGCTACCAGCGTGTTTTTCTATTCTTTATTCATCTATTTATCCAATTTATTTTTGTTTATATAACCATTCTGAGGAAAAACATGCGGTCGGAGCTGCCCATTCGTAAAGTAATTGTGGGATCCAGCGGTGCTTATTGCCGACGAAGCAGCGAGCCCTGATCTGTAGACTGTCCCGCGAAACGGCGGTGTGCTGCGGCACAGCCTACTTTTCAGTTTTACAGCAAGAACAAAACACGCCACAAAACAGCGACATACGCGGAACACGTTCGAAGCTTAGTGAAGCCTGATCTCACCTGCTTTGTCAAGGGATTAGTTAAAGCTTCATAACTATTTCAGCCGCAACTGATTGGCCCTACTGGATGTTCAATTATTCAATGTTCACCGTCCCGGCGACAAAGTTAAATATATAGGTAACACTTGGGTATTCGTTTGCCTGCTATTGCCATGCCAGATGTAGCCATGGGTTGTGACTTGTGAGTGCTGCTGGCATAAAAAGCGTCTCATATGTGCATTTTGCAACGACAGTATATCTGTACCACAGATGCATCAAGTTGTACTCGTATCAATGCATTCTGGAAAATGGAAATATGATATGCTTACAATTCGTAAAACCCAGAAAAAAAACAATGTGTCCATTTTCAATGCAGGTTCCGCTATGAATTTATAATTATCGAACGCAAGTGCCCAAGACCACACAAGGCCAAATAAGACTTGGTTGAGAGCGGTTCAGAGAAGCGACAATAGGACGATCTCTCATGAACAGAGTTAACCTGATGAATGCCGCTTCTAACAAGACAGAAAGCTTGCTTTTGACTGACTCACTCTCACTGAAACTCACTGTAAGTCAGTATATGTGCCAAGTGTATGCGGGTGAGAATATTGATTATTTCTCCCCTCTATCTATGCCAGTCCCAGCAATCTGCTCATTCGTTAACGCTATGTAGCAATCAGGATCTTCGTGCAAGCCACTGATTGGAATTTCAAGGAAAAAGCAAATAACAATACTAATGAAATACAATGAGAGCCCGCAGATGGAATGACTGAGCGTCTTTATTGACTGCAGGCATTTCCCAGCAGCATGACGATAACGACAGCTCCTAGGACTCGGGAGGTGGATGGAACGCTCTCGACACATTTTGACTTTTGGCTTTACAATATACGTGGTGCAATGATGGTCACTGAAATAAACACAAGTTATTCTTTTTTACTTTGTTCAAAACTCAAAAGTAAGTGGCCTATTAACCCAGAGTCCGCTGGGCCTCCACGCCACCCGCCGGCCACCGAAATAGGCTTCTCGTGATATTTGTTTTGAACACACTTTTATTTCATTGAAAAGTTGCCGCCTCTCCAGGCGATGCTCAAAGTTGAGATGACTTTCTTACCAGAAGGCCTCCGCACGCTTGAATGCATGCCTTACTGTGTGAAAGTTTTAGCTTGCCTTACTGTAAAAACTGTTCACCACCCTCATTGAGGATTCTAAGGTTTGTGTACATAGCGTATTTTTGGCTTCACAAGCCGTAGGAGCCCTGAAAACGTGGCAAGTAGTTTCACGGCTAACCGATGCCAAAAGTATAGTATGCAGGGAGGGACTCACTCGTGGCCGGAAGTTTTCATGCACGAGTCGTCCCAACGTTGAGCATAGCTAGAAGTCGTAATTTCTCAATGACAAAGAAGGGGTGCCTAAAGGTCGAATCGTCCCACAATGCTGTGTACAATTATAGGTTATCTAATGTGGTTATTCGCAGTTTGTGCTCCGTTAGTCACTTAACTGTTATTTGTACATAACCTGAATGGAAAAATATTTATTAAAACTGAAACGAGGGTAGCAGGTCGTGCCACTCACCTTGACCTGTTGCATCTTGATGCGTCGCACCTCCTCCTCCGATTTGGAGGATTTTTGTTGGAGCAGCGTCCGCTCCTCCTCGGCGATGTGCGACTTCTCTGAGAGCAGCTCGGCCGTCTCCTCGGAGCGTTGCTGGAGGCGCGACAAAGGTGTTAGTGGTGACTCGAACAGATACTCAGTCACTTTCTGATGGGGTTCCGAGAGGCTGCGATTGTCAGTGATCTGATTGCGTATGACGTGTGCATTGAGTGCCTGGTGTCTGTGTGTGTGTGCGTGCGTGATTTCTGGCGGTATTTGTATTCCCATTTTACCCTGACGTATGTTTTTTAACTTTCTATGACTTAAGACACAGAATAGCCACGTTATACCATGTGGAGTTGTCTGCCTTTGTCAATACAGTACATACACGACGGTGGGCGTTATCCGTCATCCAGGCGAGTGTACACAGAGCCTGACACATAAACAGGCGGCCCATGTGTAACTAAATAAGCCATACACTGCTCGCACGTAGATCGACTCGACCTACCAGAGCCCACACCCGCTGGTAAGTGGTCATCGCACAGCAGCGATCACCCACAGATGGTAAATTTACCGAGAATACAACACATGTGTGAGCAAGTAAATACGAATTAGGAACATATTTTCCTCTATTCTCTCAGCATTAGGATCAGGTTGTGATGCGCATTTACTATGTTCATGTGTCCATGGACACGAACTCACCAGGGCCTCCTGTGCCAGTCGGATCTCGTCCTGATACTGGAGCAGGCGCTGTTCGAGCTCCGACTTTTGCCGCTCAGACTCTTGCCGCAGCTGCTTCTCCCGCTCCAGCTTTTCACGCTCCACGTGTCTCCTGGAAAGTGACACACAAGAATATGAACGCGCATACACGCTAGGAGAGGACATTCATGTCTCGAGTCGGAGCTTGTTCTGAGGTAGTAAATAACATCATTCACTCACAGTCTCCCACTTCCCTCAACGTACGCTGTCACTCAACAAATGAGCCCCGCTTACAGCACCTGCCGAATAGTTGTGAAGGCCTCTTTAAAAAAAACCCAACGCGGCTGATGGCGACGCGGGTGGCGAATGGCAGATCAGAACAGCGTAATCCACACACATAATTGGAATCGACACACGTCGATCACATATAGGATGGTGATCCGGTGGCAGATAGCGATAGGAGGAGCCGATCGGACCAACCGGAAAGTCCTAGGTATTCAAGGAGATGGAGACGGCAGGTCACATTTATGTAGAACTTCACCGAAAGATCACATTCATGTATATCTAGACCGGAAGACCACAGTTATGTTATTTAGACAGAAAGACCGCATTCGTGTAGATCTAGACCGGAAGAACACATTCATTTACATATATAGACCGGAAGACCACATTCATGTATATTGTATATCTAGACCGGAAGGTCGCATTGATGCAGACCAAGTCGACTATTTCAGCGTGCAGAATCAAGTTACAATGCCAGTAGGATGTTATAAATGTCCGCACGAGAGGATGATGGCCTGCAATATCGCAATGGTCTATTTATCAAAAGGTCAGCGTATCATGCCACATGACAGAGCGTTCACAAATAGATACGATGTCACAAGATCCGACAAGTGGCACGAGATCCCATTACCTATATCCGAGTTACCATGGCATGTGCTCCGTTCCACATCAGTCAGTCAAACCTATCTACATACACAGCACACGCCTAGTAAGTAGTAACCACACTATACCGTGCGGCGCGAGCACTATACCAGGAAGGTGGCGTCTGCCGCGCGGTCTCGGGTCGCGGCCAGCTCACGTCCCCACCGCGGTACAATTTGTCAGCCGGTCCAACTGCTGCGGCGCCAGCGGTCACATGCGCGTTGTGGGCTCCATTTGTCATAGGGCAGACTGGCGGCGGCTGGGCAGCTCCCGACGGATGTCCAGACGGCATGCTGAGTAGCGTGTCGTCTGGACGGGTGTATGCGGTAGGATGTGGTCGATGTGAACACGCCGGTCCGCAGAGTGTCGCAGCCACCGCTGCACTGGAGGGAGCGGCCGGTACGCGAGCGGCACCTGCGGCTGTCTCAGCCCTGAGGCCGGCTCAGAGCTGCCGGAGCCCGTCACTTACACATCTTACCCTCCCTGAGGTGCGCTGGAGAGACATGGTCCGTCTGCCCGGCGCTGTGACTGAGGTGCGGTCCGCGTCTGCCCGGCGCTGGGATCCTGAGGTGCCGTCGGAGACACGGCCAGCTGACCAGCGTCTGACCAGCGTTGTGCCCTGAGGTATTGTTTGCCTGGCGCTGTGACCCTGCGATACAGTGTCTGACCAGCGCTGTGACCCTGAGGTGCCGTCGGCGACACTGGCACAGTGACCTTCCCGTGCTGTTCGCTCACAGCTGACCGGCGGCTGGCGGTGACAGGTGACCGCCGACTCGTTAGTGGTGACCCCGGCAGCGCGGGTATCGGCCCGACCAGTGCCCAGTAGTATACCATCTCAGACGGCCGACCCGGCAGCGGAAGGGAGGAGGGTAGCCGCCAGCGCCGCGGCGGCACCTTGTATACCAGTCGCAGACAGCCGGCGACCTGACACGGCAGGCGAAAAACTGCCGGAGACCTGAAGAAGGTAGTAAACGGCACACGAAGGCGCGGGAGCCGGGGGGGCAGTGGGGGCAGCTTGCCCCCCCAACTCTGGGGCCGTGGGGGCGGTGCCCCCACAGCTTTGAGACGGAATACCACACTTTTTTTGCAAATGTTTTCTTTTTTTGTTGAAAAAGCCGAGGGGTGAAAAATAAGTGGCCTAAAACCGGTGAGAAAACTAGATTTGGGGGTACCCTAGGTTGACCTCTATAATGGTGTGCCCCCCCAGTCGGGAAGTAGTTCCCGCGCCCCTGCCGGGGCAAACATCGACTCCTGCCCCAGGGAAAAGGTTAGGAAATTTTCCGACAGCATTGGGATATCATTGGACGAGCGAGGGGCGGAAGTAATTTCACAAACAAATGGAGACAAAAGTAAACAGTAGAAACAAATAAGAGAAATAACAATTCAGAAACCTAATAAGAACCAAAATAATTGGTTCCTGAAATTTATTCAGACCACATGTGACTCTGCAGAGCTGTGGTGTTATTGGCTGGCGGGCTAGCGGCTTTCAGATACTGCATATATGCATGGGAGTCAGGACAGACTCGTATTAAATGCCTCCGTCTGAGCAAACTGGGTCGCGAGCAGAGAGGAAACCGACCAGCGACAACGGAGGCAGGCGGGTTTCGCGAGAGCGACCCGGCACTGTCCAGTGCCCACCTTAATAGAGCTGCACCAAGCATGAAGTAAGTAAAAATACAACGAAGAAGTAAGCACCAGACAGGCTACGTAAAAAGCGATGCATTTGTCTCATATTCGTATGCATCCGTCTGGACGTTTAAGCGGTTGTCGGATCAACAAAGAGATACAATTACCAGAGCATGTCAGTCCATCTACACTTGTAGGAATTGTGTGCAGCCTGGTGCAGCGGACGCTAATGCTACGAGACGGGCGACAGGAGGTTCTACGAGTCCAGCCGTTCCCCGAAGTGGTCCGCACTCGCGGTCTGCTCATCCGACGCTATATGGTCGACCACAAACCCTGCCGGCTGCCCTAAGCTGCCGATAAATTCGCCAACTAATAACTGAGCAGCCGGCAGTGTCAAACGGAACTTGGTTCTCGTTAGTCACACTGCAGAAACGTGCTTCGAATGAAATCAAATCTCCCACAAAACGGTTAAATGCCGCTATTGGATGGAAACATCGTCCAAATGTCGGTGTGCGGAAGATCGTCTATCACCGGACACGGCAGCAGCCGGTGGCCGGAAGCGGGCTCATCCCGCCGCGCCAGCGCGCGCGGTCGGACGGTCACGTTAGCGCCTGTGTCACGCCGCTGCGGCAGCTGAGAGCCCCCGTCACGGGCAGTACCCGGCCCTGCGCCGCCCCGCGCGGCGGGCCGGTGATCGCGGGCGGCCACTCGGCAACTCCCCGGTGTATGCAGAAGCACGTTACACAAGCACAATCAGCGATGGGTACTGAATGGTGTTTACATTTCGTAACAAACGAGCAGCGCTCCATTACCCGGTACGGGCGGGCGGCGGGACTAAAATCATCAGCACCGCTCGCTGTTGACCGTCTGACGGTGCACTCGGCGACTTTGAATGCAGTGATTCAAATAGTTTCCAAGTTGGTACCAAAACAGCTATTAACTGAACAAATCAGTGACAAAAAGTCGAGCAAGCATCCTGAAGTTATCTACACATAAAAACACTGCTTAGAGATTATATGAAAAACAGCCCAATGGACATTGAGACATGCCCAATGGGCAATGACAGCAACTTCTTTGAAAAAATTGTAGTGCTTACGTCGTGCCCAATCTTAACAGCCTACGCAGCCTCGTCAGGCGGATCCTGGCGTCGGTTCACGGTCTGCCTATTGACAGGATCGTCTAAGACCAGAACCCATCCCACTTGATGGCATCCCAGGTATTTTTCGAACAATCAGCAATTATCGCTTGCCAATTCAGATATTTCCAACCTTGTTTTTTTTTTCAGAGGCACCCGTGCTTCAATGCTTCACGATGATAAACTGGAATTAATATCATAATCGCAATAATAGAAGTCTGGCAGCGCAAGCTGACTGCTTTAGAAGCAACCCTGGCCGTCCGACGCCCGCCAGTCTCGGAATCCCATCGCAATGACGCCTGGCCGACGTGGCTTCACAGCGTAAAGTAGCGCCCGGCTTTAGCACGCGCCGGTGCTCGCCTTTACACAGACACATGGCTCGGCAGACGGGGCGTGCAGCGCTCCACGACAGAGCCTCGCGTACCGCGTACCGCTGGTGGTTATACAGATCACCGTTCGGCATACGAGTGTTCCCATCACATAGCTTATTTCGCATACATTTTGCACCCCGTGTAATAATTATTGTTGAAAATAATTGCATCCCGTCGTTCAACGAGGTTACTTTTTCGCGCCCTCCTATCCTTTGCGTTCTTCCATCTTTCTTAGTTTCCGAGATGATCGGGTGTGACAATTTATGTCTCACCTCTACCCTCACCACAGTGAAGCACCTTAGCATTAGCATATCAAAGACGATCAACACAGATGTTTGTTTGGTTGAATCAAATAACATCGTTTTAATCTGTACAACAGCCTGATCAGTACACGTTTTATGCTGTTATGCTTTCAACTTTATGCAATGTATTTTTCTAAAACTGTGCAATAACAGTCCACAAAACAGCAGCGTGACGAGCATAAACAAAAGCTTGTAGCACGTAAGTTACCAGTTGATTTACGGTGAGGAAGTGATTCATATGCCCTGAACAAATTGTATTCTATCACTGCATTCATCATGTCATTCAATTTGTCAGCATTCAACATGTCAGCTCAGCAAAATAGGTAGGGGAGAGCGGGGAGAGTTGTATCATGTCCAAGTTGTATCAGGGCGAATTGTGCCAAACTTATCCAATGGATGGCGCTCGCGACACGACCAGCCGACGAGGTTTTCTGGGCGCCATCTTTCCCTGTTCTGTCTTGTGGCTGAGTGGACGCGTCTCGAGGTGAGAGCCGATTTTATGTTTTTTTAATGTCATTCTAAAAAAATAAGTTGCAAGAAAATGTGTGTTCTGGGCATTTAGATGTGCACGAATTTGAAAGATCTCCGTAGCGGTGGTGAGGGTAGGTTCTAAGGCTGCGTGAGTGAAAACGGATTTCTCCAGCTGTCCGCTGTTTTTTAGCACGAGGATATTTTTTTCCAAGATGGCGGCTAGGTACATGTTGTATCAGAGCCGGGTGGGTTATGTTGTAACATGTATGTATGTATGTATGTATGGGTATGTTGCTTTTGATCGCGAAAGCTAAGCCCTGGCTCGCGTTTGTAGGTAGCTAATAGTCAATGCTCGTTCCATTTCGGCACAATGTGTTGGCTTCTTTGCTCTTAACGGGCCCCTTTTGCGTCTAGTCTGTTGATGTTTCGTTCGGATTGCATTGACCTAAGTTTGGTCTAATAAAGTGAAGCCTTTGAGCATACCTATACATTGTATTAACCCCATTTAATGTTGTTATTATGTTCAAAACCAGTAGCAAGCACACTCCCTGAAACGTGAAATAGTGATACAAATTACCCCACCATGTGATACAACTCACCCAAGCCATGGGGCAAGTTGTATCAAAAACATTGTTCTATTCGGGAGACCGTAGAAGAAAAACTGGTAGAGGTAGCGAAAAAGTTACTTTGCACAAAAAAAGCAGAAGAATCAAGGAAGGGGATGGTATGGAAATAATGAGTTTATCACGGATAGTTACGAGGTTATGGGTCTCGGAGTAAAAACTGATACAACCCACCCCACTCTCCCCTACCTTATTTATCACCGCATTTAGCGAGACAAACAAACACCCTAATTGCGTCATTACAGCATTAAAGTTATGGGAGGCGAATGCGATACGCTGAATACAAAATGAGTGAGATTTGGCTTCACCGTATATCTAGTTATATGATATAATGTTCAACCGGTATCTGCAAGGACGCGTAACCTTTCAAGAAAACCGATTAGAGCTTGACATTGCTAAGAAGGATTGGGGCTGAAAGCCTTCGAAGAACAGTTCGAGCTTGAACCTTGCTCAGAGAGATTGAAGAAGAAGCCATCAGTCAGGAAATCATAAAATAAAATAAAATAAAATAAAATAAAATAAAATAAAATAAAATAAAATAAAACAAAATAAACCAAAAAAAAAACTAAACTAAAATAAAATAATAAATAAATAAATAAATAAATAAATAAATAAATAAATAACATGAAATAAAATGAAATAAAATAAAATAAAATAAAATAAAATAAAATAAAATAAAATAAAATAAAATAAAATAAAATAAAATAAAAAACAAATCACAAAAAAACATCAAACAATTTTTACTCTTTTTGACACAAAATTAAATTTAACACGAACAAGTCAAGAGTATGATCATGTTCGGTAAAGAGAGATGAAGACAGGGTCTAAGCAGTATTTAATTATCTTTTCAAAAGTTTCAATCTTCCTCATCATATGAGCTGTGGGTATACAAAATAATCAGTGTGCACTGTGCAGTGCGCTCGCAAGCTGCCAAGTGCCAGCGTTTCACATTATTCGTACGACCGAAGCATGGCTTAGACTTCCAGGACGATATCACATGTGTGTCGCATTAGTGCGGGACTATATGAGATGTACTTCGTGTAATCAATAAAAAAAACATACCGTTTTTGCAGCCAAATCCTAGCTCACCGAAACGGGAAGAGTCGCACGCGCCTGTGATACTGAGATAAGGATGGCGAAATAGCTAGTCCCGGCCGCGGCAAAGAACGTTTTCCAAACAGACCTAAGCAGCAATCAGCCTACAAGGCCGTAGAATAAAATACGCAAGTTCTCAGTAGCGCCTGCGGTTCCAGAGGCACCTTTGGATACATTGGATATTATAGATGCCCGACAACGGATTAGATCGGGTAAAGACTCACATGGTAATAAAGTAGGTTGCAGCGGATATCTTCTATCACGTGGATGATTCGAAAATCAGAGAGAATGGGATCGGCTACCCTTAGCAAAGCGGAGGCGTCATGACTGACCAGCGAATCGAAATAATGGAAGCTCCTTATTGAAATAATGAAATATCCATAAAGAAATAATGAAAGCACTGATACCAATAGCGGAGTCATACCATGCCTTCGGACATGCCATTCGTGAAGAGAAGAAAAATGGCATGCCGTAGCTAAGACCTCAGCAAAAAGAAAAACAAAAAAAAAAACATTAAGACAGCATTGTCTGCTGTTCAGCCACGGCACTCCGATGCCTGTAAGCTCGGCCCATGGGAACGGCAGGCCAACATCGTGGGCAACCACTAATGCGTCCTAGACCTCTCAAGGAGCGGCCAAAAGCCTGTCTGAATCGATGCAGACCAAAGTCAGTACAGTTGGCGTCAAATAAATACCATCTGGCAGACGGTAAAAAGCGCACACCGCCGCAAAAACGAAAATCTCACAAGGTACTCTGCAACTCATAACAAGAACACTACAGCCACAAAATGCCAGGGGTTTGACCGCGTCAAGGCACGTGGGAAGCCTCAGAAACTCTGGGGATTTCGGGGAGCCCTGGCGGTTGGCACAGGACTCCAAAGGAGAGTTTCCGCTCCGGGAAAGGGGAGAGAGGTGAGGACTCACCGCTTCTTCTCCTCCTGTGACTGGGCCTTCATCTGCTGCACCTCCATAGAGTCCGGCTTACGGCGGCGCATGAATAGATCGTGGTTCCCTATGCAGAGGTCCAGAATCTGCGGCACAGGTGCACGAACGGGGTCAGGTCAGCGATGAGCACGCGGGAGATAGGGTGCGGCATCTCCGAGAGCTGCAGGCCATCTACGAGTAATGGGGAAGGAGAGAAGCTCCTGCGATTGCGATGGATAGAAGGATTGGTACTGAATAAAACAAGCACCTTACTGGAAGACAGGCCTAAGGCACGCCGAGGCTTGACTGAATATTTTCATATTGCACATGTGATATCCTTGATGGACGAATCATTGAGCATCAATCGATCAGATCTGTGTAGATTGCTAAACTTATCTGTACTTTGTATCGAGCATTAATCATAATTCAGGCAATCGTATCAACTTATACGTCGAACAAGGCCTCGTTTTTGCCATCAACATGAAAAATCGCACTTAATACGTGACAGCGGCGATTAAAACCAGGATATCTTCAGCTAACGTATTACATACGCCGGCCGAAAATAGATCGTGTGCAAGTAAGCGCCCTTAAAATTTGATATTAACGTAAGAGCACATCCAAGCCGTTGAAAGCGCCGACACCAAACTGGGCACATTTCCCGAACTGAGAGCAATGGATTTCATAAGGATTCCCTATTCAGATTAGGAGAACGAATGACACCGAAATGGATTTCATCAGGCTTAGCTGTCAGGATTACTGACGACAAACGGCGCCACAAGGGGCTGGGCCATATCAGACGCCATTCGTATTTCGGCTGGCGCCAAAGCCGCGACACATAACACTGTTCCCGATGTGCTCAGCGGGCCGGCTTGGGGCGGCGGTTCATTATCGCTTTCCTTCGGCGAACGACCGCTGCGGTTGGCGGCGATCGATAGACCTACAATATGCAATTGATAAACCAGGCGTGACGACGATTAATCTCAGCCCACAGTGGAATGACGCATATTTATCCACCAGTATCGTGACATTACGTCATAATATTTTAATATTTTCAGCATAAAACAGCGAAATGAGTTTCCCATCTATGACTTCCCATCCAGCTAGCTTACCAGTTTGTTCATCTTCAGATTCTGGGAGAAGAATACAAAGTTTGATGACGGCTTGCCGACAATTTTGATGGTGAACTTCTTGTCATCGTAGCTGATGTTTTTTATCTCCGACCAGGGGAATGAGATCTCGGGCGTCAGCTTGTTGCCTTTGTCGTATATGTGCAGGCCCATATTACACACGCCGAGAAAGAGCTCGGAGCCTTTGCTGTTCTGAAATGACACCGGGTGGCGACAATCAGACGGAGGCGGATCTCCACACAGGTCAACTACAGACAAGTACCGAGGCTTTCAAATGGTCGCGAATGAAGTCACACGTGCCGCCGGTAACCAGGTGCCGAGTGGTAGACGTCGTCAGGGACCGAACTAAAATAAAGCTCGGTAAATACAACAAAGTCACCCACACTGTAAGGCGCCGGACCAAAGACGTAACAAAAGGTTTACAAGCATGGTTAAACCTAAACAGATACGACACATAGTTATATACGACCAGATATCGATGCAAAACGACAAGCAATAACCGAATCATAAGTATTTCAGGTAGTATGCGACCCACTTACAAGGCTTAAATCACGAAAACAATCAGGTACCGAGATCAGATACACTGTCAGATCACGAACGCATACTTGCTCCGTACATCCCATCGAGTTCGGATAAACTGAGCAGACATTGCTGATACATAGCCAAAAACGTAACACCCTGTATATAAGTTATTGCCCCTTTCTCCATTTTCTCGCATGTCGTTTGCCTGGGCGAGAGAGAAGAAAGGAGGGGTTCGACCCGCCCCCTACCCACAATATGTAGTCAGTGATGACTCCTCCACTCTCCTGCGGTCCCTAAACAATATGTCTTGCCTTAACCTCCCCTCAGTGCTACAGATCCCCTAGTCCACCCGCGGTGCTCAGATCCTTACCGAGATGGAGAAGTAGCTGACACCGTTCATCTCCAGGTCCTGGGCGATCTTCAGGTACTCCATTTCAGCTTCATCACGAGACATACCCTTGTGGTCTTGGTACCTGTCGCAAAGAACAATAAAAGTTACTTCGCCAGATAAACATTATTGGTATCGCGCAGGTTACGAAATACGAATAGACATATTAGTAAACCACCTACTAGGTCTCATGTGGGACAAAATGGTAGGTACAAACCGTTATGTTCGACGATTAAGTGTAAAATTTCTGAGAAACATCTGTCTTCAGATGACATGAACAGCAAATGCTATATTTTGAACCCATTTCCATCCTCCATTTTCTGTGAATTCATCCCTGGATCATGTCTTTCTCATTGACGTGCCCCTCGCAGTTTTGTACAAATACCAGACCCAAAACACCGTTCATAAACACGAAAATGCGCAGCCGCCGATCAGCTCTCAGGCCTATGAATATTTCCCAGGCCGGAGTGGCCACTTTGCGATATAACTAGATGGGCAGCAGCGGAGCAGGCCGATACAAAGACCAGGTGGCCGGCAGGGACTGACGTACAGCCGATAACTGAGCCCCCGTCGGCAGTCAGTGGCGGCACAGCGGTTCAGAGTTTAACAAACGGCTTTCTAGATGGATTCTTAACAGATTTTAGCTCTAATTGTTTGAAGTGGTCAGCTTGCTACGTCAGACTATGGATGATAAGCATTGAGCATTGAACGCCAGATAAAATATGCCTTCTGAATATGACATTAGCGAATCAACTGGCGCGTTACACTAATTAAAAATAACAGAAACTATTGCAATAAAGATACTCCACATATTGCTCCGTAAAAAGACGAAACTTCGGGATGTGAACAACGGTTGAAAGATTGCTGAAAATATGGTGAATGATGGCTGATGTTTGATGAAACGGAAAGCATTGTGTTTTTTATTGAAAACAAACCTAAGTTGCCGGACAATTTTGCAGACTGAGATCAGTATTTTTGAAAGGCGAGAAAAGGCACTTTCAATCTTCCCATTTTTTCTGGATTTCTAGCTTACCATAATCGACAGATGTCAGCCTACAGGTCCCTGTAGTGCTTCTACAGTAGCAACTGACGCAACAAGCGTTACCACGATTATATGCGCCGCGCAGCAGCGAACAAATGTCACGGCAAATTGAGCGAGCAACTATAAATGTGAGCTACTTACAACCTTCAGAACCCATTTATATACAAAGACTGATGCTATCCAATCTACTGGGGCTATGGTGTGTAACGTTCGCACGTCACCGAAAGACACACGAGGGGTTTCCCGACCGGGAGGGCGCCGAGTTTACGACTCGGATCGGGTGCAATGGGTCCCCGGGCCGCGCTATCCCTCACCAGATGTTGATGCGCTCCTCCCACATGGGTGTGGTCATGTTGTACTGCTTGATGACCCTCTTGGGCAGCAGCTCCTCGTTGGCCAGGATGCCCGACGGCAGACAGGACTCTCCGGCGTCACCGTACTGTGAAACAGCGGGAGAGAGGAATGCGTCAAGGCGAGATATACAGATTACAGAACACCAATAACTCGTTCAACTACATGGGAGCGTACGAAATCTTAACATATAATGGTGGAAACTTTCAATAAAATCATTGTCGAAAAGAAAGCATACCCATTGGGCTTCCTGTAAATACCCCGTACTGAATAGCATCAAGCATCATTCGTGTACAGGGTGTCTCAAAAGTTCGTTCACACATTTCCCATGCCCATAAAGCATATAAGAACCGGCCAAAAATCTAAGGTTTTGGTGTCTGTGTGCACACTAGACAAATATGCATGCTTTGACAACTGATTCGGAAGGTTGGAAATCAAACTATTTGCTGTATCTCCAAAAATATTTGTCCATACCGATTTTCGTCGCTCCGTCAGCTGCCGGAGGCTGATAGAAGGTTACCAGCTTTCAAGCTCTTGTAGGGGAATCCCCTGCAGTTTCTGCGTCGGATTTAGGTTTGACGAGCTCCCCGGCAACATCCGCTTCTCCCTGAAAGCCGTCAGCTTGCATCGACACCATCCGTGAGTATTTTGTAGGTCTTCTCTGGCGCTAACTCCTTCATGAATGACTGGCGCCGACCTCCCAAGCACCATTTTCCTTTTCAAAACAACCCCATTCCTGAACAAATGGGAAGTGCCAGGGGCAAATTTTTCGCAGCATATCGTAGAAGAATGTGTCGGCCATCTGTTTCTTAGACACGTTGTGCAAATTTTGCAAATCCCAAACGCCCCATGACAAGATCTTCACTGGGTTGCGGAGTGTTTTCCTCAGGAGAGGTTCTGCTTTGTAAACGGCCAAAACCTGTCCATCGTGCGGTTTTGTCGGGATTTTGTGTCTAAAAGAAAGCTGTTCGCTCCAGATCTGCCTCTTGAAACTTCGTAAGATAAAAATTTACATTAATTTACACTTTTGGAGGGTCAGTTGTCCTTGGCATTGACGATTTTCGTGTTATTTTCCCCCAAAATTTAGCGTTATAGATATAATAAACAATTTAAAATGATACTTTGTCTTTATTTTACGATGACCTGCAATTTTTGAAACTGGGTAACCTCTGTCTGTGAGCTTCTTGTCAGTTTTCAATAGTTATGACTTCATTTTAAGCTGCTTTCCGGAGCACGAGTCTGCTGCCGTACGAGGGTCGTTCAAAACGCTGTTAGTCTCGCATGGTTTTGTCCTTCAAAAATTTTAGCCACCGTTTTTATCAGATGATCATCATGTTGTACTCATCCTCGCCGACAGTTTGCCATGGGTCATTTCCGACTTAACCATTCCCATTACTCCTGAAATAGAGAGTTTCTCAGCCGACCCGATTTTGCGACCTCTATTTTCATGCCTGACCCATGGTCAGAGATGAACCCTTTTTGTGAGCTCATGAAGGGTCGAATGCGCTTGAAAACGATGAGACTGCTTGAGGAAGGTTCTTACGAATGCCCATGCAAAATTTCGACCGTTAATTAATTGTTGATTCAGAATTATTGACAAAAAAAGCATGGCTGGTACCTGTGAACGAACTTTTGAGACACCCTGTAGCTACAATTATGACGGCAAATTTTAGCCTTGCATTCCAGGTTTCAAAAACAAACTCCACATGGTCAGAAAGTGCAACCGATCACCAAAAATTGACGAATTTTCCGTAAATTTATCCTCCGCTTTTTTCCTCTGACAAGCTAAAAATCGAAAGCAGCGAGTGCCGAGTGGACATAGTTAGCACTGAGCTTATATCATGATTGCCGCTCACGCCATTGCCGGTGCATAACACCCGGCATACACGGCCTTCGGACATGCAAGTCAGCGCAGCTTTCAGTTCAATATCCCGGTCCCCACCACCAGTTTGTTTGTTTTGTTGGGTTAGGCCCTTTCGGTCGACAAGACCATTGCAGAGCCGGAAGGATGATAGGAATTAGGGGGAGACATTGGTCTGGGCAGGCACCCTAGTGAGTCGCCGGGGCTGAGCCCGTCCAGAGGACAGGCCACCCAGCCCCAAGGCACTCACTGCACCCGGCTACGGGGTGCGCTCCCTCAGGAGCAGCGGTGCCGCTCCAAGGGAGCAGCCCGCATGAGATAAAGTTGCCTGTCCAGCCCGGAGGGGGGTTGCGGCGTGGAGGAGAAGGATTTCAGTATCCTGAGGATAGAAGCATGGATAGGTGCCCACCACCAGTACCCCTCACGCCACCCGTCCGTCTCAGCGCCAGGCTTCAGTTCGCGTTCCAATGCTGTCCTGCGGTTTACAGGCGGCAGCCGTACACAGCCGAGCTCCATGTGTCCCCTAATCTCCCTCCGACAGACGACAGACGGCTGATATGACCCGCCCCGTCCCAACTCCCACCGCCAATCGTCCCAGTCGGTCCGCCCCCGGCCGTAAAGAGCCGGCCCTCACTGATGTGGGCTGACGGTTAGTGCCTGGTGGCCGCTCAGCCCGGAAAGTGGACAGGGAGCCAGACGGCGACGAGCCGAGCTCGCTGGCCCAACGACATTAGCCACTCTCCGCAAATGTCACCGAAGAAAAAACATCGGCAGCTGCATGGCTAGCTAAGATAAAAGGAAATGTTCATGTGGAACAACTCGTCTCGAAAGAGTAGCACTTTGTGCGACCACTAAATATATATCATTGTCATCCCAGAGAGGAACCATCCCGTCGCTTCGGTAGCGTCATTCAGTGAGCACACTCATCAGAGTGAATCACAAACAGTGCCCAGTAGACACTCGTCTCAATCCCAAAACTTGTGTCGTCAAGCTGAAGCCACATTATCCACCAATGTGACCTCATGTGGCCCGCCGCAGTGTTGGAAATATGGACTTTTCTGGTCCCAGGCAGGGCAAAAGATTTCGCTCTCTTTCACAAATGTCACCTCTCCTCTCCGTCACCTCTAACCTTCTGAATTTTGTTCAGCCTAAATGTATGACAGTATGACAGTACCGACACTGCATGTGGAACACTCGCTACGGCAGGGGGCTCTGTGGTAGCTATCTCGATAACCGGTAAACGGTGGGTAAAGCCATGACCGACTAGCACAGGAGCACATCAGGAGCCGCCCACATGGCGCCGGCAGAACCCATGCCACCGGGCGGGAAACTACCACAGTGTTCACATGACGCGGTCATATCGACGTACTATCGGCAGAGATCGGGGCGAAGTCCCTCACAAGTCACTCCTGCTGTAGTCGACATTCCAACAGAGCACGGTATCTCCCAACAACACAAGCTGCTACTCCCTCGTTGCTATGGGAACCAGGCGCCCGTGGCATGCTATCTCGCGTGGGACGATGACCGGGGACCGGCGTCGATCAGCTCCGTCGACCCCGATGGCACAATCACCCACCCCCTGTCGCCGGTGGCACTAGGGTGACACGGCGGGGAAAAACGAGGGATCATAACCCAGACGCGCATGATGACAGCGATCTGGTTCTACATTTAATCGCATGAGCGGAGTACGGAGAAGACCCTCTGAAAAGCAATTACCGAGCTCTGTCATTCAAGAGTTGCCGGGAGTTCCCAGGTTTGTATAAATGGCTCTTTGCAGTAAAAAGGTCCAGCGGTTAAAACTGGTAGATGATTCGAGCTTAACTTTCTCCTTACATATCCCACACACATCCTGCAAGCATCAATTCATCTAACGACGTGTTTAGCAAGTCGGCGTAGGCGTGTAATCGCACTGTCAAGTCCGCTGAACACCTCGAGAGTGCAATGAATTCAGAGTGCAACTCTTGACATGATTGTCTATCTCTCCTGAGTTCCGTTGACCTTTCTCCGCAGGAAGCTAGGGCGAGCCGATGCGGTGACGAAAACACATGAGCTGAACACCCGTCTCCCAGCCCCAGCTCATCGGCCGCCCCAGACCACCACCGCAGTTAGCAGCCTCGGCCCCACTCATCATCCACATCAGTTCACAGAATTCTGGTCCCATCAGAGCCCTGCAGGCTGCAGCAGCTCGCAGTTTAAATTGTGTGTTCTCAGCTAGCAGTAAAATGCCCCTTAATCCTGCTCAACATGCGCCATAGATCACGTGCCACATGTCAGAGTACTTATCTAGTACAAACTAATTCAATCATTTACACCCCAGGCCCAGGTAATAAAATAGCATATCATATAAGCCTCAATGAAAACGTTGAGACTCTACGTCGCACTATCACGACTAGCTCGCAGTGGATTCCTCTCCTGACTGCACAGAGCGATGTCCGTGCATCCCCTACCGGCCCAGCCGACGGTAGCAGCCCACTCGTCCCCATCCCCGTTAGTAGCTTTGGGCAGACATGTGCATGGATCCGAGAAAATGGATCTGGGATTTGATCCCACGGATCCTGATCTCGGATCCGTCGGGATCATAGATCTAGCTTTTTAATTTATCGAGAGATCCGTAGGGATCATAGTTCCGCGTCTAGTATTTTTGCTTGAGATCCAGTGGCATCATAGATCCTCATTTATTTTTGGTCAACACTGAAATCCCAAAAGATCACTCGTTGCAACTCACAAACGTTCTTATTTAGTGATTTTATGTGATAGCACGTCATAATCCATAGTTTTATGGCACTTATTGACATAGAAACACTTGAAAACCTGGTTTCAAATGTGCATGGTGGGATCCACTCAGATCATAGATCCATGTTCTTGGTTTATCGTCAGATCCTGTGAGATCATATATCCAGGATAAGTTTTTCACGCCGGATTCGGTGGGATCATAGATCCGAGTCTGCAATTTGCCTTGAGATCCACTGAGATCATAGATCCATCACTCGGATCCATGCACATGTCTGGCTTTGGGCCACTGGACACTGGACAGCCAGTCCAAGCGGCGTGTACCACCGCCCGCCAGGTCAGTCTAAAGCCAATGTCACCGGCTGCTTTTTCGACCAGCGTCGATTACGCCGGTGCCGTCGATTCGGCCGATCGACGGGCTTCTCGAGTCGGTCGTGCGCTGGCGGCAGCATCAAACCTGCATCAAACATTAACCGTCCGGAGGCCGCCGTGGCAGTCTCCGGCCCGCTCGGCCGGCCGCCAATCAGCGGAGAAGTGCCGGCGCTCGGCCCGGTGCGTCCCGGCGCGGGGGCAGCCACTACAGCCGTGGTCAGCCGCCGCGCGCCCGCAACAGCGGCGCTTGATGAACGACCGGCCGGCCGACCCTGACACAGCCACATGAGGTATGAGCCGAAAAAAACGACACAAAATCAGTTACAGACCCGATAAAAACACGCAAAAAAAAACAATGCGCCACAGAGACGCTAAGCGAGTTATTTCTATTAATACTGAGTGATTAGCTGTGGTTGTTGCTGCCCGCTACGAGCTGCTCTAGCAGTGGGGTCGGGAAAGCGACTGGTCTCTGGTCACGGTATTGGAACATGGTGCTATGAGGAAGGAATTATCTGTCTCGGAGCAAATGGGCAGTGGACATCCTGGCCTATTGGCAAGCTATTGGCAAGGTCACTAGATAGCACAACTTCGCTCCAGCGGGAGTTCTGCGGGAATTAGTTGGCACAAGCTGAGGAGTAGCACAAGGAGCTTTACTGTCGCCAATTCTAACCAACATGTTTTACCGCCTCTTATCGAGAAGTTTGATAACAGATGAACGGGTTCGTCAAGCAATTACGATCGACCTGTGGGAGCCAGCGTAGACAAACTTTTTGTGAAGTTTTAATAACGCACAAAGTCATTATCTATTCGAAAGACTGTTGAGGAAACAGGCATTGCTGGACTTCTGATCAGGTTTTATGTCAGGCCTAGATGAGATTGTGTCCACTTGAATACTGATTTGATTAAACTCCAAGCCACTGATTCATATCGGTATCGAGCTATTGATAAGAATAGATCCTAGTTGAAGTAAATGAAGCTAGACTACGACCCGATGGCGTTCAAGACAGCCTAAGACGGGAGCCTTCAAAATCCCAATGTGCAGCTTAATCCTCGCTCAGACGGGTCCTTTTTCATAACGAGGTCAGCCAGGGTGCTTGATACGTCATACGACAACACCCTCTGGCGATTCTCTCCTACGAAAGGTCTACTTACTCTGCACCAATGTATTAGCCAAAAAAGTTGGTTCACTACAGCGGACTTACGCTGACCAAACCATTGCGTAATTGCACAAATTAAACTTGGTAACTTGTTGGTATTAACTGAGGTAGAGCAGCACGATAACGATAATTAATGAAAAAGTATATCGTTCCAATGTTTTCATCTCCAATATTTTCACAATCGGACCCATCTGAAATTCTTTCTATATGGCTAACTATACGAGACCTCAGGTCAACGACATTTGAAAAAGAATAATTACACTATAAAAATCGGCGAGCTTTGAGCATCCTTCTCCCTCATTCCGTGAAATACCTTAGGGGAGGGTTACATCGTCTCCCTGGCCGGGCGAGGGTTTAGGCAAAACTTCAGGCCAAGAGGCAAGAGCCATGTCTACATGAAAACACGCCGCGGCGGGGTAAAGCGTCGCAGCTTTCCCACCAATGCTGGTCCAAATAAGTGCCGACACTCGAAGAATGTGTGGCATGTTCAGGTCATTCAATGCCGATCCTACACACTATTCAGAGCTTATTCAGAGCAATAATCTTTTGTCTATTTTTTTTCAAATGTCGACCAAGTCTTGAAAAACATCAGCGCATTTAGCACGTAGGATCCGGCTCGATGTTTCGTCGACTGAACAATTCTGGCTAAACACCTTAGACGCTCAGTTTGCGTCTGAATAAGCCTATGTTGTTCGTCGTAAGCATACCGACACGTGGGTGCGATGGGGAATGCCCATAAAGATATTTAATTTAGTTCGAAACGTTGAATGCAACCAGGATCCGACTCTAAGCAGAAGCCTTCAATAATAGCCGTGTCGCAAAACCGGTGATTAAATGTTTTGTTGGAGATCTAGGACGAACCTGCCACCTCCATTGATACATCGCTTAGCTTGGTTTCAGCCATCTGTCCATGTCATGAAAAAGATTGTTATAAAGACAAAACAACGGGCTCCTGTCTTATTCCAAACAGTCCGGCTACGTATTCCAAATAGTCCGGCTGTGTAGCCGAGCAAGAACAATTGCGCGCATCGAGCCGGGTCTAACCGAGCGGACGGCGACGGGAGTGACCCGCCTGGCACAGACCAGGCCGTCCCGGGTCTTACCTTGGCCTGAACGGCGTACGAGGCCAGCAGCACACTGACTTCCGACGGGCAGTAGATGTCCATGTTGAGGATGGCCTGTTTCACTTGCAGGAAGAACAGATGCTGCGTGATCTCCTGCACCAGTTCCTCGCCCACATCCTCCGGGTAGAACTTGACGAGCAGCACGAGCGAGAGCGGGTTGTCGCGCTGCACGTCCTGGTGCAGCACTGCGCGACCACAGACACACACAATGGGAGACTGACGCGACGGACAGGACACTCGCCGGAGAGGCTGGGTACACGGATAGTAGTCAAACAATAAAATGTAGTGAGACTGACGTGAGGAACATGAGCGAACATTGAAGAGACCGATTTGTAGGTGGGCAGGGTGGTTAAGTCCAGACAGGACTTGACGATGGGGAGACTGGTAAGATGTATCGTGGACGAACAATGTTGAGACTGGGAAGATGGCAATAGAACTAGACACATGTGGGATGATCTGCTGTAGAGATTTCAATCGGATACCAACTTCTTGGTATACCGATACCAAACCGATACCAACTTGGTATTTGGTATTTCAATCGTAATGTGTTTGGTATTTTGTTGGTATCATAAGCCCTCACTAATGTATAAGAGGCTAAGAAATCGGTAAAAAGTTGGTATTTCCCTCAGTTTCCCAAGTTGGTTTGGTTTCGGTATTTTCCCGTGGTTTTGGTTGGTATTTGGCTTGGTATCGGTATTCCGATTTTCCGTAATTGACATCACTAATCTGCTGTGGGATAATTCATTTTCCATGAGCACCCCAACAGTCGCATGGCAGTGATGCTGAGAAAAGTAGGGGACGCGGGCACAAACCGTACGAGATACACAGTGCTGTCACAATGTGGGGCACACGAGTTGGTCCGCCTACCTTTTCGGTCCATTTTCAGCCAGGAGGGGCAGCCCTTGGTGTCCTGGTACTGGAGTCCGAAGAACCACGTCTCCCGCAGTCCGATCGTGCGGCACACCAGGTCGAACAGCGTCCGTCCGGTGGCACCCCGCTGACAAAACACGGCACAACACATAGGCACACTGTGTGATAAAATCTATACGAATAATGCGTTATGATGGTTGGTGCATAACTGCTTGTCGTGCGCAGGTAGGCAGTATGTTACTTGTGCAATTGTAAGCACATGGGATGATAAGGTTTCCATTGATGACTCTTAAATATTGATAACAAACTACCAAATAAGCTGCTTTACATATACGACAGCAGGTTAGATTAGGAAGGATTTGGATAGACTGGTCTTAGCCAAAGCATTGGTTGCTTTTTAATTAGCTCTTCTTACCTCTACATGAAACTCCAACTCTGCATCCATTGTGGTCACTTTCACTGGCAGTGACTTCTTTTTCTTCTTTCCAAATCTCATTTTTGATACCAGTGAGTGTGACCTGCATAAACACCATGAAGTTATATTGGTATAATGCACTCACTGGTGATGCTACTGGCAATGCCAAGTAGCACAGCTCTTCTCATTCTGGAAATGCATTCTGGATAGGTACCCTAGCAAGTGACTGGAAAATCATACAATTAACTTGGTTTATCCCTTAACTATGAAATAACTGCTGAGCTGAGACTGAATTGAGGCTTAGCTCATTAGCTTGAATTAAGCAATTAGATTGAACACCTGTGAATGAAAAACACCTTGAATTCTAGCTTAAGAAACAGTATGACATCATTTCAAAAAAAAAAAAAAAATACTTACCTTGAATTTGAAAACATCTTGCTTCACAACCTTATCTTATTTGTTAGCCTGAAAAGGTTGAGGATCAATATAATAAGCTTAGGAACATCACAGCAGACAGCTGCAGTGATTTGAAAACATTGTTTGGATTTATAATACCAAGGCATTTAAAGGTCCTACACTTACTGACCTTTAACTGGTAATATTGGTTTAATCTTACTGGCCTGTGCAGTCACAGCCATGAAAAGAGTCTGGTAGGTCTTAGCCTCACAAAATATTTGTTATGATTATATTATCTTTCTGGATTGGTACATCACAACAACTTGAAATGGACTGGAGCCAGCTTTCAACAATCTACCAAGACTTGGTGTGGAGATAGGTATGGAAGACCTTTTTGAACATCGCTGAGCGTCGTTAAGTAATACCGCAGTGGGTTCCTGCCCACTACGGTATCGAAGGAAATGAGAGCGCGGACGACCTGGCGAAACAAGCGGCCACCCTGCCCTCAAACGCCTGCTCGCTGACCAGGGCGGTTCATTGTGCGGTCTCGCATCAATGACGCGACAACTGGTCCGAGTCACTATTTAAGCCACTCTTAGGGAGCACGCTGCCACTCCCCAAGGCCCTAAATATCCCCGGGGAGGACCGAGAGGACGCCATTTCGGTGCACCAGATGAGGGTGGGTCACTGGGGCCGCTCGCTCCAGTGCGTGCACCGAATCAGCCGTATCCCCTCCACGGCGTGCTAGTAATGCCCGGACAAGCGGTGCCCCGCGGTGCTCTGCACCGTGTGCGAGAAGAGGCTGATGTCGTCGCCAGCCTCCAACACTGGGCCTGTTTCGTAGCTCAGTGGGTAGAGCGTTGGTCTCTGCGTGGTGAGAGCACGCGTTCCCGGTTATAACTGTCCGGGTTCGAAGCGCGACGAGCGCGGCTCCTGACAGGTATGGTTGTGGTCGGCAGTAGGCCGTAGCCAGGCGAAGTCAGCGAGGGGACCGGCCATGTGCAGCTGTGTGCGCACATTGAACTTTGAACTCCAAATTCTACCATAGAACCGGCATTGCACGATCGGAGGGTGGAGGGCAGGGTCAACCGTCAACGCAACAATCTTCACTTTGCGGGCTGCGGGGACCCTGTCTTGGTGAATCCTTCCATTCAAAAGATTCAGACTGATATTCTTTAATGTGCCAGAGTGCGTGCTGCTCTACTGCCCTGCCCTCGCTGGCTCCCGCCAGCCTCGAACACACTGAGTGATGTGATCCACCAATATTTGTGGCTCTGGCCTCATTTCACAGCATGGTGCTACAGTTACAGTGCACTAAGCATATTGATGTATTGGGTTTTTGTGGAAATAAAAAACTTATGCGAACGCTCAAACATAGGAGTGTTCAAGGCCTAGAACACTCCGTCTGGTTGATATAGACTTGATCGGTAATGTGCACATCTGAATCTTAGAGCAGCAACACAGCTTTTGTTTGATATACAATTTACAAATGACAGTACTAAAATTAAACAAATATATAGCAATATAAGTGCAATATCCCAAAAGTAAGACCGGGATACCTATTTCGCTTGAGCTGGTGTGCCATCATCCCACTGCATGCACCGTGTCAGGTCAGTGCAACGGAAGGTCAGTGTGATGTGAGGTGACCCTTGCTTGGACCCTTCTTGCCCAGGGGGGTACGCTCCGGCTGTTTAGCATTACGAAAAATGGTGACAGACGTTTGTGGAGGATTGTCGACGAACTCTTGTTCCGCGAGCAGTACTTACACGCTAGCGGAAAATTCACCAATCAGCGCTCGGCAGTACTCGACGCTGATTGGTCCGACGCTCGTGACGAAATTGCGGGGGACCGCAGTTATTCTCTATGGACCCGAATAGGCTTTTGGATTTCGGAGGAGTTTCTTTAAAATTATATGCTGTTTGGAGCTGTTTTCGAGTTGAAATATATTTCTTATGACTGTTAGCTATATAATGACACCATAAAATCATGATTTTAATAAATATTACCGATGTAATATCGGCCGAAAAGACATGCTGTCATGGCACGGACTGCCCTGCGGCTGATGTGGGGCCCCTAGTGCCAGCGTATGGTAATAATGGGTTGACGAAGGGTTATTGGAGAAACTTAGAGCCCCTTTAGCATTCAGTATAGGGTCATCAGAGGCCGGGAATGTCCATCAGGGGTCTGAGTAGGCCTGTCATAGGGGCATACATGACACATCATGGCCCATGGGTCAATGTAGATCCATTAGGGGCCGTTGAAGGGCCATCATTGTTCAGCGTGGGCTCGCAATTACCTCTGATGGGCATATGCCGTGCCCCGATGGACTAACGCTGGCCCCTGATGAACCATCACCAGCCCCTGATAGGTCTACAAAGCCCTCTGCTGGGTCCAAATTGGTCACTGATATGCCCAAATGGGCCACTGAGATACCCGTACAACATCGGGCACATCCCCTGACTGCACCTGCTGGACCAATGCCGTCCCCTCATGGGCCCACCACAGCTCTTGAATGACCTTTTCAAGTCCCCTGAAGTGCCTTTATTGGCCTAAATGGCCCCTGATTGACTGATGTGGTCCCTATTGGTCCTATATGGCCCCCATGAGCCCTCAACGTCGGCCTAGACAGCCTCACATTATATGCCACTGGGCCCTGTTGGGTCAGCACCGGCCCCCGATAGGCTTGCACACTGGACCCACCGGGCCTATACCGACCCATGAAGGGTCTATGTCGAACCCTCACGGACCTCCGATGACCACACGCCGACATGTGTGGCCCCATCAGCAGTGGTCCGTCTATCCCATGTACTTACGGTCTTTTTGGCCGATGTGACACCGGTAGTATATAGAATGTCATGATTAAATGTCGTTATTACACAGTCAAAAGTCACAGAAAGAATATCCAAGCTCAAAAATGGCCTCAAACCCAACAAAAACTGGTATAAATCCCCTTCAAAAGCCGTAAGTCTATTAAACGCCATAGGGGAATAGCTACAGTCCCCCGCAATTTCGTCACGAGCATCGGGCCAATCAGCGTCGAGTATTGCCGAACGCCGATTGGTCGATTTCCGCTAGCCTGTAAATGCTGCTTGCGGATATAGTTTTGAACAAGTGAGGGTCGCGGCTACTAATTATCGCTTGTCACCACTTTTTCGGGCTCTCTCTATCGTCTGGAGGTTTCGAAAGATGCTCTCCAGAGATGGCGCTAGTAAATTTGGCTGACATGACGTCATGCTAAAAAGTGATGGGTTTTGTGAGAGCAAATGTAATAATAGTTGAAAATTTTGTACTTTTGCTTAATTAAGAAAAAATAAATATACAATTGTTCAAAACAGCGTTTTCCGCATTCATCCTTCATTGTTTTAAGAGGAATATAGACAGTTCAAATCTTTTTTCTTGACCGCAATTCGTACACGCACTAAATTAAAAGCTGGAGTTTTGTGCGTTCGTAAATCGTGATTTGAGAAAATAAGTTGACAATAATCTTTTGCACTTTTGCTTTACAATCATTTTTCAATGCAGATAAATGCATAAATGATTCAAAAATAGGCATATTTTTGAAATATTATGATTTTCCACAAGCAAATTTTCCCAAAAACTTGAACTACTTACAACTGACGAACGCATCCAATAATCTGGATGTCTTAGGATGAGTTCGTCATTTTTTCCCAAGGAAATACGATACAGTTCAAGCTACTTAACCGATTTATTAGGGTACTTTTGCCAATGAATTAATAAATAAATGACAACAATTAATCTCATTATCAACCATACTCGGAAGAATTTTCTTCGCATAAGCGCGAACACATCCGCGCTTTCATGAAAAGTCACGCCTGTAGATGTCAGGACTGCTGCTTTATGTTTCGCAGGGTGGCGCAGCGCGCAGGGTACCGACTACCGAGGCTGAGGTCTCCAGACTCTCCACCACGATTTAACTTGGAAATGGCCGATGGGGAAGGTCTCACCCAAAAACGGACGCCCTTTTACACAGCTGCATAAAGAGAATGAATTATTGGCATAGCTGACCACACGTCCCCTCCCCCTCTCCGCCCCAGCTCAATAGGAAATATCGCCTATTTTCCTTAGTCAGTTATATTCTGACTAATTTCTCACTCTTCCCAGTAAACCTTAACATGCATGATGCAGATGTCCACTGCGTAAGTCGTGTGCTTCCGTAAGTGTGCCAACTATATAGTGTTGCCTACACTCTACAGTGCCTACTGCTTCCCCATTGTCGTTATAATTGGTGATTCTCAGGTCAAAAGTTACACAGTGGTCTCAGAGAACAATCGTTTCAACAAATTAACGATTCAAACCGTTGCATTCTACTTATATTCCGGTCAGTTCTGCTACTAAACGATTCCGGCAAAACACTCTTTAGGTTATGTATTATGCGAACCACCACACAAAATTCGCCCAATCAATGGTCAGTTATTACTGCTGGGCTGAACCGTCATACGCTATATAGCCTATTGCCTATTGCAGTCAATATTTTCAGAACGATACTGACTGACGAAACACAACGTATTCGCGGATTCGCACATACGTTGGCACCCAGGTGGCCTGTCAGCAGCCGCACAAATCCGCACAGCGCAGCCGGGATTTGACATTGAGATGGTACACCGTAAAGCATGCCTTTCCGCACAGGGACACACATTCTCAAAATCCAAACTTATTCCAATACTGGTCAATTACGAATAGGCATAAAGTTTTGAGGTTTTCTCATGTTCATTCTTCTTTCAACACACGCGGCAGACTGCAGCAGCTGCAGAACATCTCACAGAGCTGCGCTGGATGCAGTCATGAGCTAGGACACGGTTTGTGACCAATGACCGATCGGGGGTGCCAGCCTCCTCCCGGCACGCGATGCACTGGCCGCCGCGCAGTCGATGTCGGGGCACCGCCGGCATTCGCCGACAGGGTTCCATCCGATTCGGTGTATTGGTGGCAGCCCGAACAGTGACCCACGCGAAGCTGGCGGACGTCGATGGCCGATGAGCGATGCCCTTCCGCGACCGGCGGTGGCAGTCGGTCCCACATCAAGAACAGATACCAGTCATGCGGTCAGTCGGCGACGGCGCTGTCGCGAGCCGATCTGATGGTCGCGCGGTGGGCGTTGCCGACGTCCACCGGGACCGTCGACTGGGGGAGCGCGGCCGCCTCTTGGCCGCCGCCTCTGGTCGGCGAGCTCGTTGCGCTGTGGGACGGCATCCACTGCAAGTCGTTCACTGTGAAGCGGTCGTTTGACCGGACCTGGCAGGCGGGGAAAGGGGGCCTCAGATGAAGTAAAACCATCCCTCAGGCCAGCTTGAACTGGCTCTCCACCTCACCATGTTAGATAAGCGGACACCCTCGTGATCATCGCAGCGATGATTGCCAATTGGTGTGTCATTATGGGAGAGGATGCCAGCCTCCTTTGCAAGATAGTCTGCCTTTAATATAGTGCAGCCCGACCCATTGCCTGTGGCGCAGACTGGGCTTGATAATGCAGTGCAGGACACACCAAACGTAAGCGGCCATCTGTACCCCCTGTGCAGCAGGGCTGACTCAAGAGCCCAGAGTTGCCCTCCCCCCCACCATTCTGTGCACGTGATAACTGGATGGGACATGCCATGGTCAGCATCTGTTCAAAAGCTGCCCTAAGCATGTAAAGCTCCACTGGCATGCTCAAGCATGGTCACAGTCAGTTCTCACTTCTCAGTTGAACCTCCAATGGAAACCCATCACAAAGTAGAGATCAGGGCGCCTCTCACACTGCAGCACACTCAACGACTGAGGCACCATCTCATCACTTGCAGGTGGTTCTTGCCAGGAGCAATGCCAGCCACGCACATCAGGTGATAACAGCAGTGTACAACTGCAATCTACAAGCATCCATGTTCTTTCTGGTTTTCTCCTGTTGAGATCCACTGCCATGCATGAACTTGATGGGCTTTTGTTGCGCTCCTCCCATGTGCAGACAGGTTTATGCTGAAACAAAGCAAAGCAAATGTGATTAATAATGGCCCTGTTTCACCATCCAGACACTGTGTGCACTGATAGCTACGGCATACCATAGCATCACTCAAATGACGTTGCATGTGATCTCTTAGTTTATGATCAATCGCGTTTGGAACAGAGTGAGAGGTTCTGAAAAACCGTACCAAGAACAGAGGTTTGAGTTCAAATACTGCTAGCATGCTGCTGGTGCTGGTACCGCAGCGTGCTAGCGTTCTGGGATGCTGTCATAGCTTAGCGTCACAGTGAAGTTTGTTGACACTGCCATGGAAACCCAATGCTCTGACACACGCAGCGCACTGCAGTGCGTGCTCTGCCGTGAAACACCACCCATGAACGTTGGTTGCATGACCAGGATGGAGCAGTGTGGCAGACAGTGATTTTAATTTTAATTGCACTTCCTAGAGATTAAAATGTTGTTGGTGAAATTGCTATTCATTATTCCTATTACCATTGTCTAAATTTCACATTTCAAGACAGCATCAGCATTGACATGTTATATAAAATAAGGTTTAGACTTCAGGTGGTCCCGGGTTCAGCTATTAAGTAAAACAAGGGCAAAAAATTGTAAAAAAAATATTTTAAAAAAATACCTGCCTTCATCAACACCTCATCTAATCTAACCTCATCCTCATCTAACAAGGCCCTAAAAGCAAGCAAAAACCGTTTTAATAACAATGTAATATTTTGCAACCGCTGCACCATTACTGTCACGTACGCTATCCCTAGATTGGTTGCTGGTAAGTAGTGGTTGTCGTCATCAACTCGTCATGCAGCAGCTGATTGGGATGGGCGGGGCCTATTTTTATCCAGGCGATAGAGAGAGCCCTTTTTCGTCGGGAACGTTCTACCTGGTTTATATAGCCTTGTTCTTGCCTGTCTGGCGTACCCGCTCTTCGATTGCAGTTCAAGTTACTCCAATTTATGTGAAGCAAATATTATCGTTAGACGACACTGGACCTTTTTAAAATAAATTAAAAACAGGGAAGCGGAGAGCCTCCGAAGAAGCGCTAACATATCAATATAGCGCTAAACTGAAACACAACAAAGCGCAATTCAACGGTTTTCATTTTCCACGAAGTGTAAATTTTTTTTTTTTTTTTTTTTTTTGCTCGGTCGGCCTAGTGCCATACCCGAGCATGGGGCAGTTACTCCGGCAACTTTCGCCGGGCAGCAAGTCTTACGTTAAAGGAAATAGTTCACTTTCACGAAATTATTTTTTTTGCAACGGATTTATGATTTTTTATGTTCAAAATAATCAGCAAAGAAAATAAAACCTTTTTATAACAAAAGATTATTTTCTATATTTTGATATAGGAAGAACTTTTCAGTTTCTGTAAGGCACACGCGATCCAGTATGAAAAGAGCATGGGTCCCGAAAATTCTTCAGAAACAGAGAAATTATCGCAGCCACCGGCATTTGGGCGATCTGCTCGATCTGATAATGTTCCCCTGAATGTCCTAATTGATCAGTACGAGAATTTCTTTAGAGTTCTCGTAGATAATTTCTCTAGTTTCTGAATAATTTTCGGGACCCATGCTCTTTTCATACTGGATGGAAATATATGCAAGGCACACATCCTCAACGCAAGACACCTTTTTCGGGACGAGAAATAGAATATCTTTGCCTAGGGTGATCGTTGGGCTGTAAAAGCTCCTGATTTATGCTCGTCTCAGCCCAAGCTACAGAACTGCTATTCCAGTTCAAAACCCATGTTAAAAAGTGAACTATTTCCTTTAAACCGGTTTATGTGAACCCGGTAGCAAAAACAACGTGGGATCCTATCTTAATGTGGAATCAAAGCTAAGGGAGGTACTTACGTGTATAGCCAAAGAGCCGAGATGTCTGGAGTCGCAAACACAACAGTGGGAATGACTTTTATTAACAATACATAATAGACATGAACACTTGTGAGCTGGTGTCAGTGTAATGGAGCCGGGAAGCTTTCATCGCACTGACAGAAGGTATAAGACCTTCTAGGCTCCAGCCCCCCGGCGGGGCCTTGTTGTGGGGTGTAATGGTCGGGAGAAAAAGTCCTAAATAATAAAAAAACCCGACGCCTAACGCAAAGGGCAAAAACCTCGCACCCGAAGTGTAAACAAATCATTTATCGAATACGAAACAGCTGCGCACCAAATGTCGCAAATCTTTAAAAGACACCACCACCAAAATATGACAGCCGACAGCCTTACCGAGCACTGAAAAAAAAACATTGAATGACCAAAATCCACAGTGACATTTACACTATTATTGTAGAATTGGCGTCGCAGATCATTTAAACCTACGACTTTCAACATCTTGAACGAACGACACATCAACAGGGACAAGAGAGGCACCACCGTCCCCAGTCAAACTTTATGCGCGTCTGGGATATTGTATGTCATTGCACTAGCAGTGTGAGCAGAACGCTGCATTTTCAAGGCGAAGCGGGATACTTTACCGCTAATAATGCAAGCCTGAGCATCTGAGTTCTCTGAACGATGACCGACGTCAGGTCCAGACTCGAGCAGATATCTGAGCCGACGGTCACCTTTTCATACCCCATGAGCTGTTCTTGACAGAGTATATAGATTATAGAACAACGTTCTGGGAAAAAAAAAAACGCGGCTGAACGCCTCTAGTACCCTGCAATATTGCGACACGTGTACATATGAGACTATACAGACAAGACATTTGTCATGGCACATCAGCTGTCAGCATGGGAAGGGCTGAAGTACAAACATGCATCGTTCATTGTTCTCAAACGTTTGAGACATTGAGTTCACCGAATGTATTATTCCAAGACGCAACGTTTGATAACAGGTACATACAGCGCCCAGCTTTGCCGTGCGAAGCATTCACTGCCACCATAATCCAAAAATGATCGTTAAATACCGATCACACATAAAATGGGATGAATCACCAATGGCGCGTGCATCCCCGCACTGACCAAAGATCCGAGGTTTTTAGAAACGATCTCAGACACAAAACGGGTGGCATTTGTCAATCAGTGGATTTCAAGTATCTATCAGCGTCAACGACAAAACACGTCAAATATCACCATCGGTCCTACATCCATGAGAGATTACTCGTGACAGTCGTGACACACTAGGAAAAAGTGTCGGCATTTCCATCGCATCGTGCGAGTCGCCAAGACATTGATGCCTAGTACCGCACCACAGCCACCGGCTGGGTGCAGCCCCCCCCCCCCCCCAGGCCACGAGGTCGGCGGTCACAGCACGCCCCTCCCCCTCAGTCCGCCGGCGTGCTCACAGGTCCTCGTCGTCCTCGGGCAGCGCCGTCTCGGTGGCCACCTTGAGCTCGCTCTCGATCTGTTTCTGCCAGTTGGGGTCCATCTGCACCTCTGGCGGCTCGAGCGCCGGCATCGCCACAAACTCGAGGTTCGGGTCGCCGATCAGCTTCCGCGCCAGCCACAGGAACGGCTTCTCGAAGTTGTAGTTGGACTTGGCCGAGATGTCGTAGTACTGTGGAACAGGGATGACGTCAGAAATAATCACGCCATCCTACTGATAAAATGTAAACATTTTGCAATGAAAATAAATTTGATAACATTTTTTATCCAGCTGGGCTTCATCACCTTTACACTGAGCTCCGCAGGAAACAACAGAAACAATCAGACGCAGCAGAACGCTCCTGTCGGCCTCAACCCTTAAATATCTAACTTTTACCGAAACGAAAATCACTGCAATCGTGAATTGAAGCGATACAAGACCATTTTCATTAACGGCGATTGACTAACCATCTTGACAGCGCCGTCCATCAAAGGCATTGCACGCCAGATCAAATTGAGTCTACCGCGGCTGTTACCGAATAAGGAATGAATGTCGGTGGTGACTGGGCAGTGGGCAGACTGTTAACACACCGGGTCGTTCGGCCGCAACTGCTCGTAAAATTACCGCCAATCGAACGGGCCAATGGACTGGAATGTCCTTCAATTGGCAGCACCAACTAACCTGGAGGTTCTTTTTCCGGTGGAACACGATCGACTTGGCCTTGACCTTCCTGTCCTTGATATCGACCTTGTTACCGCAGAGCACGATGGGGATGTTTTCACACACGCGCACCAGGTCACGGTGCCAGTTGGGCACGTTCTTGTACGTGGCTCTCGATGTGACGTCAAACATCAAGATGGCACACTGACCCTGTAAGGCGAGTGTGAGACGGAAGTGGGTTCGTAAGGAGGGCATTCAGAACTCGTAGTTGGTCAGAACCGTTGAGTGCTACTTATGTATCATATAAAGCCATCGTACCAGCAGGCTTCTAGGTAGCCGCTGCTTTCTGATCATTCACGTCCCTAAACAGCAAGACATAAAATCCACCAGCAGTAAGCTGTCTTCCGAGCTAGGGTAGGTTTACCTTATCTCACTAAAACTCGCTAAATGAAAACGGAGCCGAAAGGTTCGATATCTGACCATTTAAGAACCTGAACAAAGCTGAGTGTGCCCGACAGAGAATAGGCGTGTTACGGCTCATTTACCCGTGACTCATTAGGTAGATGAAACCGGTATCAATGCCGTGACTTAGACAGAACTTGTAATGTTCATACCTCCTCCAGTAATGTGCATTGTTCAAATCCCAATCGATTTAAGGAAAATAATCATAATTTAAGTAAAAACATTTACGGGTTGAATTGAATTATTGAAACAGCCATTGGAACCGCTCTATTGAACCGCCACAATGAACATGTATTGACTGTTCATTGAAATCGCTTTGCCATTAAATCCTTTGGAAGCAAAAATCACCCTTCACACCTTTTAGCCTTATAGAACCTACCTGGATATAATATCCATCTCGGAGGCCTCCGAACTTCTCCTGGCCAGCCGTGTCCCAGACGTTGAACCGTATGGCGCCGCGGTTGGTGTGGAACACCAGCGGGTGCACCTCCACACCCAGTGTGGCCACGTATTTCTTCTCGAATTCACCAGTAAGGTGGCGCTTCACGAAGGTAGTTTTACCCGTGCCTCCGTCACCCAGAAGAACACACTTGAAAGTGGGCATGTCCTGAGCTCCATTCTGTGCCATGGTTGATATCTGTTGCCTGAAAAGTGAAAATGCCCCATAACTCCAGATGCAATAAGCTTTCATACAGAATGTGTAGTCGACCATGTCCTTTGATTCTGTGAAAGCTTTAACTTTTCAGTGTGCTGGGACAAATGACAAATCACGGACATGGATTGCCAGATCAGTCACTGAGTCACTTTGTGACAGGACTTCCATCCAATAACAGTGGCTGAAATTGTTTTGTCAGGGGTCCAAACTGCAAAATATCATTGATGTACCTACATAAAGTGATGCATCTGAGGATGTTCTGTCTCAGTTTTGTTATTTTGAATCCTTGAAATGATCAGAAAAGAAAATAAATAATATCTACAAAACGAATATGGGGAATTCATATTAAAAAAAAAAAATGGGAAGAGCTACTTTCCATCTTAGGTAGAGGCTAAATGTAGAGGCTAAATAGTGTTTGCAGCAATGCAGCAGAAGCTTATTACATGTGGACCAATCACATTGCACGATTCAAAACCAACTGCATACTGTTTGGCTGACAACTGGACTCTGCCAGAGGTGGCTGCATTCTTTATTCTTCTGTAAGGCACCTAATTCCTGTGTACAGTGTAAGGGAACGATTTCAGAACTAAAATAAATATATATTTGGGTAAGGTGACTGTTGAGGTGTAAAAGCTTCAGAATTGTGCTAGTCTTAGCTCAAGCTAGTAAACTGCTATTCCTCTTCAAAATCTCATGCCAAGGTTATATTTCCTTTAAACAGGGTTTGCAAACTTGTCTGAAAAGTGATCATAATTGCAATTTTTTAAAAAGTGCAATCTTCCAAAACCTTGGAGCTCACTTTACATGCTAAGTTAAATTGAGATGGATGCCCAGGTGATAGAGTAAGTGTAACAGGCCCACATGGCAAAATTTCATTGATTTACAAAGGTTAGCTTATAGCTACCTACCAGTGTGATGGGCTAAATTGGATTATCTCAAACCCAATCATTCTCTATTGCTAAGTTTTTAGCAAATTCAAGCTTACCATGCAGTTTACAGAATCATTTAGTCAATATTGTTAAATTCTGGAAAGAAGGCTTTCTAATGGGTCGTGTGGTACAATAGCCAGTGGTACAAAATACAAATAAATGGGTCTGATCCTTTGGCTCATCAAAAAAAAAATCTGAAATTGGTCAGTGGATGAGCTTTTAGGAAAGCAGTGCAGGTAATAAGATTGAGAGGAGCTCAGATGAATGACTGCAACATTTTTTAACAAGAGGTCAGAAAAGCTTAGAGAACAAGAAGGTTGGAGCAGCAGCAGAAACAGACCCCATGTTTGAGGCAAAGAAATACTTAAGTTAAATAGGTAAACATTAAGCAGGGACATAGCCAGGGACCACTGGGGCTATGACTCGCCCTAAAGGCTAAAAATAAAATTAGAGTAAATAAGTAAAAATAAATAAAAACAGCTGCACCACACCCCAAAAATAGTGGCATGCGAGGGGATTTCCTTTTTGAGAGGTGGTACGACACTAGGCCGCGACCTGTGGCCCCTCCGTGAGCAAAATCCTGGCTGTATGCCTGAAAATAATCACTTATCACAGTCATGAGACACACTTGACAGCACACTGACCAGTGACCACACTCACACTGGCGCTGACCACACGCCACATTGACTACACTGACATGAGCACAAGTCAAAGCAGCATTGTTGAGTCAACAATGACAAAAATATGATCAACCAAATTGAAATATAAACATTACATATTGATATACAATACACACAGAAATGCAAAGGAAGATTGGCGCCCGGCGCCAACACGTGTAACGGCTGGACCGAAATGGCGCCCGTTCGCCGGCGTGGCAAGACCGACAGAGAGCAACGTTCGGCACCGAATATCTCCCGGTTTAGGCTGAATATTGAGCTGCAAATCTGGACACTGATAAAGAAGACAGTAAACTTTCGTATGATCCGTGAATATATCGCTAATAACGAATAATTCATAATAAAAATAGAAGAAATGCGCAACTAACCTTAGCCCTCAACGCGGCGATACGGCTCAAAATGGCGTTTTCTAACGAACACAAGTCTGGCCAATAAGAGCGCAGCTTTTGAGCTTACGTCCTGCCACCTATGGGCTGGCGTTGAAGTCTACCTTGAGTACGGTTTTTGTGCGACACGAGAATCACTGGAGAATGAACGCAACATTTTTGACTTCCCCAGATTGATGACATAGTGCGTAGTTTGTGATGCCTACTCAGTGTCCTGACTTCAGTGTTTTCAGATTTTCATATAAATGAGTGCAAATTTGTATGTAAGGATTGAAGATTGAAAAAACGCTTACCTACCTACATTTTGGTTCGACAGCCTGGGGGGTCGGATCCGACCCCCCCCCTGTTATCTCGAGAACCAATGGTCGTATCGAGCCCCGCGAGGCGGCGTTCGAAAGGTCTCTACGAGACCTTCCCAAAGCACTCTTAAGATTTTAAGATTGAGGTAAACTTTCGGGTCAAGGTCAGGTCAAAGGTCAAATTCAGGGGTTTTGCATGATTAGGCTTACGGACAGCGGGATCGATAGCTGCTGCTCGAAACTCACCAAAAATGACCTCAAAGGCCTAGTGAAGGTACCATGTGCGTATAGGGGTCATACTAAGTACGGGTCAAAGTCAGGTCAGGTCACGAAAGGTCACGGTTTTCACTTTCTGCTACATGGGCGTGCGACACATGTTTTATGGCTTATTTTTCACGCCGAATCCGATGGTAATGGTTATATGTGACCCAAAGTCACTGTGCTGGTGATAAGTGTGCATTAAAAGCATAAAAAATCGTTTATACCATACATAACTAAACGAGGGCCCAGAAAAAAGGTCAATTTTTCAACTTTTTATTTTTGACATAAAATGCACTTAACACTTTCCTAGACGAGCTAAGAGCTTTGTCCCAGGAATCTAGTGGTGCCATTTGTTTTCACATGCGATGTTCAGAAGTGCCTCAAATTCACGAAAATGCTCATGACGTCACCATGCCCTATGCATGTTGGAGCTATTTTTTACAATTTGGGGGTCAAAAATCAAGATAGAAAGTTGAAATTTGGGACATCTAATGTTCTAATAGAGCTCTATAACATATATTCCGGTTTTTTGGAAATTTCCAAAATTTTGGATTTTATTAGCTATTTTCCAAAAAATATAGTTTTTTGAATTTTTAGGGGTAAAAACCGCATTTTATGGAAAATCCGAGATAGCCATTTTGAAGAACTCATTAAGCTGCATCTATTCATGTCCTTAATTTGCAATTTGCTTAAAACCCCGATTTTTGGCGATTTTTTAAAACATTTAGGGGAAAGTGGGTGTATTGCGCCCTCCTAACTAATGGCGCCCACCCACATTCCCACGAACGAATTCAATGGCATGATTAGCATTTTGTGTTCGAAAACATTATTTTCACCACTGGATAGTTCCTTTTATGGCCCAAGCTTTCCGATGAAGCCAATCAGCAAAGCTCATTACGCCATCAAAGATGTTACGGCGTTTTCTTAACTTTTTTGCAGTATTTTGAACCGTTGGCTATAAAAATTTGCGATATTTGTGTGATTTTCAGAGTGATATTTAAAAAGAAAACCCCCTTTTTAATTATATTTCACTGAAACAGTTAACTTCCTTCAACATCTTTATGATAACTTCTACGCTTTTATTAAAAAGTACCTCAATTTTAATTGCGCCCATGGCAATTGCGCCAGGGGGACGCAAATAGAATAATGATGTAGCTATTGTATCACGACAGTATGCATGCATCATTAACTGATTGCAATAAAGAAGGAGTTTAATGTCAGGCAGGGGAGCAACCCGCTGTCGTCAGTCCGCAAATTAATTCTCTCGTCAAACTTATAATGCAGCTGCCATTTAGGCTACGAACTTGTGGTGTAACTGACAAAATACGACATTTTCAACATGGACTCAGGCGTAAGAGGTGACAGCTATGATAAAAAAGTAAAAACTGATGTCATCAAGTTGTCGAAACGATAACAAATTATTAATTTTGAGAGAAACGAATGAAAATTTAACCGTATAAGCGCATACGTTCGCATATATCTAGTCTGTTGCAGTAAACGTTTTCGTTGCACTTTTACAAGCGTACGGACACATGTCAAGTTATCTACCTTGGCAAAAAACATCGCGATTTATATCTACATTTATTATTTATCCAGCCTGAATAACATTATAAACGTTTAAGTAAGCCGCAATGACATTAGACTGCCGGAGTGTATGCATTTCGTCTCATTCGATTAGCCATGTTAAAGTATAGGGCGCAATTGGGTTCTAATTGCGCCATCCCCCTGGCGCAATTTACAGCAGTTGTTGGCAAATGCGCCCTTTTGCATGTTTCTGAAAAAGCAGCTGTCAGACGCAAACGAAACATTCTTAATTGATCGGGAGGCTCTTAAATCGTACCCAATGATTTCCTCTTTGAAATGGTTACCAGGGCATGCTTATACCTCCAGCGGTTTTCTTACAATTAGCGTTTTTCCTTAAGGTGGCGCAATTCACCCTCCTTCCCCTACCATTTTTTGACTGAAAACGCCATGTAGTTACATCACTAAAATCGATATATCTAAAAAAACTTTGGAAATTTTTTCTTAAAAATTGCACAGGAGACGTCAAATTGATGGGGGAGAAGGTATGCCAAGTTTCAAGTAGATAGCGTAAGCGGTTCATGAGTTATTCAAGAAAAACGGAGGGGGGGTCGGATCCGACCCCCCCCCCCCAGGCGGTCGCGGGTTAAGCATTAGCCCTATGGGCATTGTATGGAAAGAATGGGACCAAAAGTCGGCAGTACCCCCCTTAATTGAAGGTCTTCCGCCGCCACTGCTTGTAGTTAGTGAGGGTGCATTGTTTGGAAAACATGTTAGCATTTATTTTAGTTAACGAATAATCGACTAATTTCAATTCAAATTGCTTTGCAATCAATGAAATAACTCAACTCAGTATCAAACCCTCACATCTTGTAACCCTCCCATATCCGCAAACACGTTTTCGATACCTTTTGCGATCTGCAGAGAGCAGATGCGACTATCAGTTTGATTTGAGCAAATCCCTGGCTTCTTATTCGTATTACGTTGTGCAGTGTCTTGACCAGTCCCCTAGAAGGCAGACTGTGCCGCAGTGCCACCGCCGGCGGCTGTGAAGTGTGAACCCATGACCAGCTCGGCACCAGCGGGCTTTGCAACTCGGCTGTCCCAGCATAGCGATCCTGAGACTTGAGAGCACCGGGAAAACTGCTCCACTAACCCCGGCCAAATTACCCCGCATTGCCATTCTGAAAAAAATATCTATAAAGTCGTTACGGTTTTACGGAAACAGGGGAAATTGCCCCTGGAAACGCGAAACACCCCCTAGAATGGCGCCACAACGTCAGAATTCGTTTACAGCCCAAATATTACCTACATGCTATACATTTTTCAAAATGGAAGTAAAAGTTGCCATTTTCTAATGAAATTCGCCTTTTATTGATTTTGAAGAATAAAAGGCGAATAAAAATTACGAAGGGAGAGTTTTGAAAATTTTCCACGGATTAGCTCCACAAATGACACATGAATAGAGGCTAGAGTTATTACCTTCACTTTTGTCAAATACCTATCGTACATATGGGGGGGGGGGGGCGGCCAAAGCCCAAATTATACTGCCGGCCAAATTACCCCCTCCTCTACTACCTAATTTCTAAATTCATTTACCCGTGAGCTGTTGCCAATCTCTCTGTTCTAGTGAGTTGCCCGTTTCATGTATGCGCGTGAAACAGTGAAACGGCCATTCCCCAGTCACGCTCAGGTCTCTCATCTGCCCGATACCTACTTCTTTTTCGCACGGATAGGCCAGGCAGTGAAATCAGAAATGCTCGGCGAGTGAGCTGCACGTATGACCCGTTAATTCCCATAGTTGCCGGTGTCTGCCAAGTGCCACGGCCACCGTATGGTCGGTTATACGGGAACTTGGGTAGCAGCCGGTATGTGTCTTTGTGCCTCGAGCGACTCTTCATAAGTGAGAGTGGGTCATCCGAGCTGCTCGTCTCGCCGGCTCAAAAGTTGAGTGCTGGACATTGGCCTGTAGAGTGTTGAGCTGCAGCCTCGGATCGGTCCGAACAATAGCCCTCATATACGTGGAGAGGCGGCTTGGCCGTAACCGTGAGGGGCTAGGAGCATGCCATTACCGGCTCGCAGTGTTCATGCATACTGCAGAGCTATGCATGCTGCATACTGCATCCTCCACAATGCATATTGGAGCAGGCAGTATACATAGTCGTGCCTGTGCAGGTGCATAATTCTTCGGACATCTTCGGATCATAATTGCGCCCACGGGTGGAGAATGTTTGAAAAAGTTACCCCGGCCGGCGACCGAAAGTCAGAAAGACGATGATGCTCAAATATTTGTCAACGGTTATCAACAAACCCCTATTCTGTGGCATAGAATAATGGATGTCTGCCGTTTGTACGTTTTTAGGGAAAACTGCTGCACGCAGGTGCGGAAGATTTCGTAATTGTAACAACAATTTTGCAACACGCCTTTAAATTTCGGACGCATGTCACTTAGTGCTAGGTCAGATCATCAGGTCAAATATGCTGGATGATCGTGCTAAAAAATGCCATCATGCCCTTTGCAAAGCTTATTCCGTGGAAGTTGCAACCTTCCCACACAAAACAAAATGTCAAATTTGACCGTTTTGACCCTCTTATTGATTTGAGCTCGCACCTAAAATATTATTCGCGACCGAGCCTTTAAACGAGTAATCGAATGTTTTGTTTGCAGTGTTTAAGCTCCGTTGTGTTCATGAACTGTGAGAAAAGTTGTCAGAGAACGCTAAAATCAGAGAAATTTGGCTTTTGATGATCTATGGTGATTTTATTATTGAGCTTGCCTAAAACATGACCAGATTTCTCTGATCACGTTTGTCGCTCTTTCAAACGTCGTTCCGCTTCTCGCCTCGTAGCCCAGTAGCCGAGTTAGAAGGAGCGTGAAAAGCCCACCTCTCGACTCAACGTGTTACGATAAGGCCACCACCCTGGCGTGGGTTAAGTTGGGGGAGCCTTGAGCCCCAGCAGCTCGTCCTTCTATCTCACTGATATTACCCTCGTCCTGTCTTGTGATGTTATTACAGTGCCATCTTCGATAACGGCCCTTAACCCTCGCCGGACCTATTGGTTTTCTACATACGCGCCGGCCGAGGGGGGGGGGGGGGCGGGTACGACCCCCCTCGCCGTTTCGCCCCTGGTGGAGCTAGAGCGTCGCGGAAAAAACGAGCGTGTGCGCCGTTACGAGACGCAGAGATTGGTACCCGATTTTAAGGTCCTAGGTCAACCGGTGACCTCTAAGGTCAGGTCAAGTGCCCCAGGGTACGGTTCAGTTTTTGGTGAATACCTTCGCAAAAAACGGCCGCAGAGCGCCGATTTTGGCAGCATCGTGTTCGCCTCGCTCAGGCGCGTCGAATGATATACTTTTTGTCCGGGTCAGGTCAACTTGGGGTGTTGACCTTAGGTCAAGGTCAGGTCAGCACCCCCAGGTCACGAAGTTGGTCGAAAGAGGTCATGTTGCATATCATTCGATTCGGCAGGCCTTCCTGAGTCCATTGGTGCCTTTCCCGACTCGCTAGCTCAATTTGATCAAGAGTTATTGACGAAAAACTAATTTGACCTTGATGACGTCATAAATGACGTCACGCAAGGTCAACATTGCAAAAGTGACGCATCTAACCTTGCAAGGAGTGCATCAAATCACGATTCTGTGTGCTTGAGATAGTTGGAGATCGTTCCCGGCGCCAGAATAGCAGTTTAAATTTTTCCCCATTGACTTATAATGGTGAGGTCACGAAAATGACCTGACCTCATATGACCTTTAGGAAAAATCCGAGACATACAAGTTGTGGGACTCATAATGGATACTAGATCCTGCAAGTTTCATTTCCCTGTGACATCTCCTCTGGCAGTGAGGGCGTTGCGAAGTTGCGACATCTGAAGACCGTGCAGAGGTTCACTTATGACGTCATAGGTCAGTGACCTGACCTGACCCAAAAATGCAGTTGGTGTCAAAAGATCCGGCTTGGATCAAAGGTCAGGTATGCCAAGTTTCAGCTCTCTATCGCCAGCGTGTTCGGAGCTATCGCGAAAAAACCCTATGGGGGGCGGCACCCGCCCCCCCCCCCTCGGCCGGCGAGGGTTAAATATGACTTACTTCTGTTTGATGAAACATGTCGGGCTCCGCGATGAAAAGACTTAAAAACATAGAAGCTCCTAAATGAAAATAAAGCAAATTTTCAAGAACTTTTCAAGGTAGATAAGAATAATGAGAGACGCTTTTATAGATGGCAGTTTTTTCGTATGAAGACAGCTTTTAGGATTTACAAAAGTGGAAAAAGTTACCCCGGCCGCGCCGGGGTCGGCTGAAAGTTACCCCGGCCACGGCCGGGGTGGCCGGGGCAGGTTCTCCAGTCTCCACCCATGATTGCGCCCTCATGTGCAGGCTGTAATGCGATGGAACCGGCAAAAAAGCTCGAGCGAGCAACTGAATCTGATATATGTCGCTAGATGTTGGTAAACGTACTGATTTCGTGACACTCGAGCTACAGGTACGTTGAGCTACCATCTTTGAGCAACCTGCATCATTTCACATAGTAAACGAAACGATCAGAGTGAAGGTGAAATCAGACAGCATGAGAGACATAATTTGTCCGTCTGCAGACCTTTATGGTTTTACACAACAGTACAGAAGACCTAACCGTTTAGGCATATAACTTCTACGGCTTCAGACTGATAATGACGGCATACCGCGCCTATCAAAGGGCTATAAAATGGCTGTGACACAGCCCACGGGCGATAACACTGAGTGTAGATAACCGCATATACCTATAACTACTTCCGCTTCGGACGGATACCTACTGACGGTATAACTGTCTGCATATGCTTTCATAACGCTTCTCCATTCAGTTTACATTTCCGTCTCAGCAAAAATACGTTTGGATCAATGATATCTCTGAATCTCTCAACGTTACGTTCCCTCTCCTTCTCCGTTCTCCTCTGTGGTCGTTTCCCCGTTCTCTCTCCATTCACTATGTTCCCCTCTCTCTCTCTCTATCTCTTTCTCTCTCTCTCTCCCTCTCTCTCTCTCTCTCTCTCTCTCTCTCTCCCCTCTCTCTCTCTCTCACTCTCTCTCTCTCTCTCTCTCTCTCTCTCTCTCTCTCTTTCTCTGTCTCTCTGTCTCTGTCTCTGTCTCTGTCTCTGTCTCTCTCTCTCTCTGACTCTGTCTCTCTCTCTCTCTCTCTCTCTCTCTCTCTCTCTCTCTCTCTCTCTCTCTCTCTCTCTCTCTCTCTCTCTCTCTCTCTCTCTCTCTCTCTCCCTCTCTCTCGCTCGCTCGCTCGCTCGCTCTCTCAAAATGTTTGTATATAAGCTCGAAGACTTAATGCCTTCAAGGCTTTATTCAAGGATTTTATACAAGTGCTATTTCAGAACATTTACAATAACCTATCGGTATTCCTCGCTGTTCAAAAGAAAGTATGGTGTTGTGCATCATACTATTGTTACACACACTTTTCAATTGTTAGGTACATATATCTATTTGAAACTAGGTCATAAAAACAAGCTACCTTCGACAGCTTTGAGCTCTTACGCAGAACTAGTATGTAAGTTTTATATATTCAGTCAGTTCACTACTACTACTACATTCCCCGCTTTCTATGCACTATGCCCGTCCTCTATGGACGGACGCCGAGCTGCAAATCTGCTCGGCGGGACCGCTGTCTGCCGACTGTCCCACTAGTGGAGCGCCTGCTGGACAGCGTCGATGCCGTGTGTCCAGGTCTGGAACCGGTCGAAGGCGCGCCGGCCGTGCAGACGCAGTCGGCTGATGCCGCCGTCTGGCGACATGGTGACGCGCACGTACGTCACCGGCTGGTGGGGCAGCACCTCGTCACCGCTGTAGTAGTGCTGCTTGTCTGCCTCCAGCTGCCGGTCAACGGACATGACATCAGGACGCGTCTCGGAACATGTATGTATACTACTCGTGTTTTGGCTTCCTAGGTAAGCTATGGGCTGGACACTTCGGGCACATACAAAACTAGCCCTGCGGCCTGCAGGTATCAATGAAATTATATATATAGTACTGGAATCATTCATTAAACTTTGTGACCTTGACCCTAAGTCGAGCCGTAAGCGGTCTAGCCTCACTTTCTGCGGCAGCAGGATCGGCGTCCAGTTGTAGTAGGTGTCCAGCGTGTCCTCAGTGAAGCGCTCCACGTCGCAGCCCTCCACGCGCACGGCGTCCGGGAAGTTACCCTTAAAGTGACACGTGTCGACCTCGATGTTGACGATGGTGCCGCGGTGTCCGAGCCGGAAGATGGCCCACTCCTCGCCGGGCACTCGCAACACGCCGCGATGATCGGCTGTCAGCGGAGACAGGGGGCGTCAGACGGAGGAATGGCGGACGGGAGGGGGAGATTGGAAAATGTCGGACGACAGACAGATGTGTGAAAGGGTTTGTAGCGGTACAAAATGAGATAGTTATTATAGTGACCCGGGATGGCAAGGACTGGGCCTGAGCAACACGTTCGGAACCAATCGCATTTCACTCGCGCCCGGTATGCCCAATGACTTAATTAGTGACCTTATTTTAGCTCAAGACGGTTCTTATAACTGCACCATACGATGCCAATAAGTTACAAGATTGTCAAGCAGTACTGTGTGTAATGTCATTGCGTAGGTAGCCGTCTGAAGAAAGTACTCATATGAACGTTTTATGGGCGTGCGCAGCGCGCCCGCACAATGCGAACCACCGCAGAGCTTTGTGTACTGCGGCACAGTATAACTTCAGGCGTCTACAACTACTGCCATCTAGCGACGGGAGAGCAAACGACTACGCGCAAAAGTCAAGAAGTAGAAGCGCGGTGGGGCGGGACGAATATGAAAGCATGTAATGGTTACTAAATTTCGGCATTATGTATTGTATCGAGCATCCAAATTCTCGATTTGTATACCTATGTAAGACGGGACTCGGAGTCACGCAACCGGCGATAATTTATTTTTGTAGTGGGCTAAATTGTATCGCTGAATACTGATTATCTTAAGCACCTGATGCAGATGTTATCTTGTGATACATATGCAAGGAACGCATTGACGGCATTGGTACGTTCGGTAGCCAGACACACCACTTTAAATGAGTGTTCACAAGGTATGCTGTATATCCACTGAATAATTAAAAGCTGAATAAATTAGTTAGATAACTAGCACTACCATTAGCTCCATTAACTAAGAGTTCCAATGAGGGAGTAGCAAGCTGGCACACTTTCCACAAACTTAGACCGAGTTCATATCTCACATCTCGCATTTCGTCGGCCATGGAAAGTTGAGACGTGGCATGATTTGCCACATTTCGTGAAGAATAATGCGCCTTATTTGGGCTGCAAATGAGTTCATTTCCACATTGGGAACAAAGCACCGGCCTGGGAGTTGAGTCGCTGCCGGCACCTACCCTCCAGGATGGCGGGTCGGTCGAGTCGGCGCGCCGTCTCCCAGCCGTCGCCCATGTTGACGCCGCGTCCAGGCGCGATCAGGTTCCGCGGGTGACCGTAGTGGGCGTTCGAGTGCATCACGCACACACCGCCGTTCTTGGCGAGCACGAGATCCACCAGCTGTCGATAACAGAGGGGCTGGACAATCGGCTCCAGTGGCCAGAAGTACAGTAAGACGACTGCCGGAGTTAGTACGGCGAGTGGTTGAAGCTACGAAGTGGTTAGAGTGGTCAGAAGCAAGCCAGACAACAGCCACCTGCCGGCAACACAGCGCTCAGAACTCGGCTGCATGGGTAGGTGGGATGGAGCAGAGCGGTCAAACATACATGCCATGCTTATTGCCTGATTAAATAAAGAGTCGGCCATAGTCACGCCACTTAACACCCTATGTTTGCACCTCCGAAATAACGTTTGTATATAGTTTCTTATGAAGTCAAAGAAAGGGGTTACCTATTTGCCTTAATTTTCTAAAAACGATTGAGCTGAGAAAATAAACGGCGATGTCATCACATGATATGTTTACTTTATACACCCCACGGCATGGAACGTAACATACTGCTCCATTATCAGCACTGTACTAGGTACCTATTGGGTAATAATAATGGTGTGTGCTGTGTGAGACTTTAAAGCCATTTTTTATGCCTACTTTTACTCAGGTTGATCTACATAAATTAATGATGTTCTTTTAAGAGTTTCATGGGTAATTCTGAATTCTTGTAAATGCGGCTGGTATCTGGATGACGTCATTTAACCCTCGCCGGACCTATTGGTTTTCTACATACGCGCCGGCCGAGGGGGGGGGGGCGGGTACGACCACCCCCCTCGGTTTCGCCCCTGGTGGAGCTAGCGCGTCGCGGAAAAAACGAGCGTGTGCGCCGTTACGAGACGCAGAGATTGGTACCCGATTTTAAGGTCCTAGGTCAACCGGTGACCTCTGAGGTCAGGTCAAGTGCCCCAAGGTACGGTTCAGTTTTTGGTGAATAACTTCGCAAAAAACGGCCGCAGAGCGCCGATTTTGGCAGCATCGTGTTCGTCTCGCTCAGGCGCGTCGAATGGTATACTTTTTGTCCGGGTCAGGTCAACTTGGGGTGTTGACCTCAGGTCAAGGTCAGGTCAGCACCCCCAGGTCACGAAGTTGGTCGAAAGAGGTCATGTCGCATATCATTCGATTCGGCAGGTCTCCCTGAGTCCATTGGTGGCTTTTCCGACTCGCTAGCTCAATTTGATCAAGAGTTATTGACGAAAAACTATTATGACCTTGATGACGTCATAAATGACGTCACGCAAGGTCAACATTGCAAAAGTGACGCATCTAACCTTGCAAGGAGTGCATAAAATCATGATTCTGTGTGCTTGAGATAGTTGGAGATCGTTCCCGGCGCCAGAATAGCAGTTTTCATTTTTCCCCATTGACTTATAATGGTGAGGTCACGAAAATGACCTGACCTCATATGACCTTTAGGAAAAATCCGAGATATACAAGTTGTGGGACTCATAATGGATACTAGATCCTGCAAGTTTCATTTCCCTGTGACATCTCCTCTGGCAGTGAGGGCGTTGCGAAGTTGCGACATCTGAAGACCGGGTCTGCGGCCCGTCTAGCCAGGGACCAGGCGGCCAGGGACAGACCGTCATACCCAGACCCGACACGCAGAGCGGCGACCGGCTGGTACCGGGAGCTGATGGGTACGAGATACCCGCCCCCGGTCTCCGGCCTGGATCGGCGGACAGCCATCGATGTCCACCAGATCCGGACTGGCCACTGGAGTGGATCGACCCAGTTCCTGCACTCCATCGGCCGGAGCCCCTCAGCCGCCTGCGCCCAATGCCGGGACCTGCTATGCGAGGCCACCCGGTGCCCGCTGTGCGGCGAAGAGGCGGACACCCCCCGGCACATCCTGCTCACGTGCCCGGGCCTGATGGGTGTTCGCCTCAAAATCCCGGCTGTAGGGAACATCCTACCAACACCCGACGAGGTCTGGCGCAGTGACGTGGTGGCGGCCCTGGTGGCCGCCTTCAGGGCCCTCCAGAGCCGATGAGGCTACGCCGCGGGGCCACCCGCGGCCGGAGGGAAAATCAACAACAACAACAACATCTGAAGACCGTGCAGAGGTTCACTTATGACGTCATAGGTCAGTGACCTGACCTGACCCAAAAATGCGGTTGGTGTCAAAAGATGCGGCTTGGATCAAAGGTCAGGTATGCCAAGTTTCAGCTCTCTATCGCCAGCGTGTTCGGAGCTATCGCGAAAAAACCCTATGGGGGGGCGGCACCCGCCCCCCCCCCCTCGGCCGGCGAGGGTTAAAACAATACATATGTAATTACTCATGGAACTATGAAAAGAATTTCATTAATAATCTTGGTATAAAATAAAATGCCCACTGGACTTTCTAGGTAGCGCAATAAGATTTACACAATTTCTTTAACGACATCACCCATCATCACCCATAACCACATAGCATAACCACATGGCCATCACTTCACCCATAACCACATAGCTTTGCGAAACGTCCTTCATAACTAGCTGCAGATAGTGAGTTTTTCTCTGGTTAAACAAAAAAAAAGTTTCGGCAGTAAATAGTAACTGCGTTTTACACATATAAGAGTGACCAACAAGGCATGTGCAACGTGGGCATCGACTGGAAAGGCTATCTTATGCATGGCAGTTGTAACAAGTCACATGTTTATTAAGGCCAGAGACACTGCTGTAGTTACAATTTCAAGGTCCAGCATCATCCCAAAACCCGCACGTTCCCAACTCGGTCACAGAGATTTTAAGTTGTCCTGACGATTCACGTGACGTCAGAGTATGTGTACTCCTATGCATAAATTTAAATGTGACTGCATCACTACATCTATCCTCCTCATTAGTTTCAAACTTGTCATGGACAAGATGACATGCAGAATGACAGAGGCACAATGTATCTAGGGATCTTCTGGTGTCCGTTTCTCATGACGGACTGTATCTGTCGGGTTTCCGTCTGTTTCTTTTAGGCCGCTGCAGCGACACAGGTGGCGCGGCATCCCCTGCTATGTCGGCGCTGTTGTGCCGCTGAGGTCCGGATCGCACTTCGACTGCTGTGTCCGCCTTTGAACTGCTCAGAGGAAAGTCTGTGATCCAGTCGTCATCCCTGTCGATCTCCTGACAGACATTTCCCGGTGGCCCTGACTCCTGTCGGAGTTTAAGTTTCTTAAACTTCTCACAGTTCCGCGACAGTGTTTTCGCTCCCCGTCTTGCGGTTATCCTCGTGTTGCTTGTGGCGACGACCGTATATGGGTTTGGATCCCATGGCGGTGAGACAGAGGATGATGGCTGCCGAAGAAGTACCTTGTCTCCGATCCTGATATTCATCTCCCGCGCCCTTCGTCGTTTATCTGCGTATGCTTTCTGCTTTGTCTGGGCGGCTTCCTGCCGTTGCTTTATCTCGGCATGTAACGTGCCGCTGGATTCGGGTATAAGGCATGGCAGCTTTACCCGTATCTTCCTTCCCATAAGGAGTTCTGATGGGCACCGGTCTGTACTTGCATGAGGCGTGTTGCGATAGGCCATGAGCCATGCGTTGAGTTCCCTTTTTTCATCCGATCCTTCTGCGCGCGCTGCATGGATGACCTTGGTTAGTGAGGACATCATCTTCTCGGCCAACCCATTCGCTTGAGGGTGGCCGGGAGTTATCGTTTCGGACGCGAATCCTGTCTCCGTTGCGTACCGTTTCCATTCATATGAATTGAATGGTGGGCCACCATCGTGAATGACCACTTCAGGTACGCCGTGTCTTGCCCAGATTCCATCCAGCTGAGGTGTCACCACGTCAGCACTTGTGGAGCGGACTCTCGTGACCTCAGGGAAGCGACTGTAGACATCTACTACCACCAAGTAGTAATAACCTCTCGGGCCACCGATGGGCCCCTTGAAGTCGGTGGCGACGGTGTGCCATGGTCTCGGAGGAAGTGGTCTTCCGACCATAGGCGCCGGCCGATTTTCCTTGCCAGCTGCAGTGCACCCCAAACATGACCGAACGTATTCTTTTGTGAGCCGCCCAAGTCTGGGAAACCACACTCGTTCTCTCAGCGTTCTGATGGTTTTCGCCTCGCCCTGATGTCCTTCATGGGCGAGAGAAATGACATCACGTTGCAGACTTGGTGGCACCACCAGCTGCTCCCCTCTGAGCAAGAGGCCACTGGCAGCGGTCAGCTCCGCGAACACCGGCTTATAGGGCGATGTTAGTGATGTCTTGCTCATATGTCCAGCCAGGACGTCCTCCAGGACCTGTTTCAACACCTCGTCTTCCTGAATCGCATGGTGAATCATCGGGATTGTTACCGCCGCTGGCAGACTTCTTTGTACGATTCGATTCACTGAGAACTCTTCATCTTCCTCAGTCTCTTCCACCCCAAGGTCCTGTCGCTCTTGCCGGCTGTACTCGCGATCTGGGGCTGGATGGCGACTGGAAAAGTCAGATGGATTCTGACTACCCGGCTCGTAGACAACCGTGAAGTTGAAACCCAACAACTTCGATTTGTGCCGCTGAACGCGAACTGGGCCATTCTTCCGATCGTTGTTATACAGCGGCACTAACGGCTTATGGTCGACTACGACTTCGAACTTCGTGCCGTAAAGGTATTGCTTGTTGGCCATTATACCAGACAGGACGGCCAGACTTTCACCTTCCACCTTACTGTAACCAAGCTCTGCTGACTTAAGCGTCCTGCTGTTGTAGGTTACGGGTCTCCACTGTGGTCTGGCGTCTCCGGGAATGTCGTACCTCTGAGCTACTGTCGCGCCAACACCGACGGGACCATGATCTACATACAGACGTGTTGCACGCTTTGTGTCGTACTGCATCAGCACAGAGTCACTGGTGAGCATGTTCTTTAGCCTGTTGAAGCTCTGTTCGCATTGGGCGCTCCAGACGAACCGTACGTTATGTCTGGTCAGCTCTCGGAGCGGCGCGGTGACATCCGCGTACGACTCACCATTGTCTGGTCTCATAAAGGCGCTGGAGAACTGGACCGTCTGCAAGAAGGACTTCACAGCCGCCTTGTCTTCAGGTCGCCGCCAGTTCTGGATGGTCTTCACCTTCTCAGGATCTGGGCTCATACCATGCTTGTTGAAGACATTACCGAACCAGAGAACCTGCGGCTGTCCGAGTTTGCATTTCTCTTCTCTTAGCGTGATGTTGAGACTGGAGACCCTCTCGAAGAATGCCCTCAATCTTTTGTCGTGCTCCTCGCCTCTTCCGTGGATGATGATATCATCTTTGATCTGCACAATACCATCAAGTCCTGCTAGTGCCGCAGCGAACTTTGCGTGACACTCGCCGGATGCCGGAGGTGTTCCCATCACCAGCCTTTTGAATCGGTATAGGCCGAACGGAGTAGTGAAAACGAATAGCTTCCGGCTTTCCTCATCAATCTCCAGCTGGTGGAACGAGTGCGTCATATCGACAACCGAGAACCGATCACTTCCCTTCAGCTGGTGACGTAGCTGCTCGACAGTAGGTATCGGAAAATGCACCATTTTTACAGCACCTTGCATGCTTCGTGTATCGAGGGTCATTCGTATGTCACTGAGCTTGTTGTCTGGGGTATATTTCTTCGCAGTGATAACAATGTTTGACACCCAGCCCGTGGCATGCTCTGATCCCAGTGGGCCTTCGATGACATCTGCGTCCAGCAACTCGTCCAAGTGCCGCCTTAGAGGTTCCATGAAGTGCTGCGCTACTGGGCGTTGTTTTTGCGCGACTGGCTGCACTCCCGCTTTGACATGGATGTGGATCGGGTCAAGATCTGCCTTTCCTATGCCATGGAATATGGGCTGAAAGTCGGCCTTTAACGCGTCCATTCTCACGTCGACCTCTCGCTGAGTTTCACCGCCAGATGCAATTCCCTCTGTGAACGGTGGAGAGAGCTTGACAGGGGTTAATCTGGCCACGTCTTCTTCCGGTGCTCCCTCGGGCTTGAAGGTGAGTATGCCGAGTCTTTCAGCGTCCAGTCTTCCAAGCAGCGATTCTTTTGGACCCGTCACGATGTACACCGTCGTTTTGATCTTCTTGCCTGCGACGCTTTTCAGTGACACCTTCGCTTTACCTATTGTGTTCAGGCGGACATTGGTACCATAGGGTCGGAATCGCACTGTTGTCTCCTGTAGTCGAACTGTGGGGTTGAACTCTCGAAGTTTTTTCCACTCGCTCTGGACCAGTAGAGTTTTGGTGACCCCACTGTCAGCTAAAAAAGTAATCTGTTCGGAGACAGACTCTTTACGGGTACATGGTTTCACTTCTACTGTGGTAAGGGGGTCACAAGCTTCCTCTGAAGCTGCAACTGTGATTACACGTCCCACTGACTCGTTGCTGCTGTTTTCTTCCTCAGAATTATCATCGTCAACCTTCCGCAGCCTCTGCTGCGATATCTGTTTCGGCCACTTTTGTCTTTTTGTGCACACCTTGGCCCCTCTGAAATGGCCTGTCTCGCCACACGCAAAGCAATCTGCGTCTCTGCCAGGACATCTTCCAGGCTTGTGTCTTCCGAGAGGACATGTGAGACATTGAACTTGATGCTGTCCATTGGGCGCTTGTCCACTGGGCGGCCTGGATGATGCCTTTAACTTGCTGTTTTCTTTTCGCAGCCGCCGCAGTTCCTCACTGTCTTCGGTCCGGCTTCCGGAACTGATCACCTTCGAGTTTTTGGCCGCACTTTCAAGTGCGAGCCCAATCTGGATTGTCTCATCAAGATCACTGTCCACGGCGAGCAGCTTGCGTCTCAGTTGCTCGTTACTTGTCTGTAGCATTATAGCATCTCTGATAGCTTTGCTGCTTGTATATTCAGTAAAATCACATTTCATTCCCTGCTCCACCAGTTTGGCATGCCAAGTTATGAAGTCTTCGTTCCCTTGGTGAAAACCAGTGAAAAGCTTGTGCCTCAGTACCGCCTGGTTCATCTGACGTCGCAAACCAGACTTTATCTTCTCCGCCGCCTGATCAAAATCGTCCATCTCGGCGACTTTCCCAACATGCTCAAACAGCCAAAGCATGTCGACACTACCGATGGCCTCTAGCATGGCACGCCTTTCCATACCATCGGTAACTCTAGTGATAACAAACATGGCTTTCATTGACCTCAGATACAGCTCAAAATCCTGCAGGAGTCCCTCCGGGTCCGTCTTTCTTGCTCTAAAGGCGCCGGGACTACACACAGACGCCAAGGAATGCGCCATTTTAACGGATGTCTCTGGCCTCTACGTTAATGTGAAAAAAACGAACGTTAATTATCCTCGTCGCCAATGTAACAAGTCACATGTTTATTAAGGCCAGAGACACTGCTGTAGTTACAATTTCAAGGTCCAGCATCATCCCAAAACCCGCACGTTCCCAACTCGGTCACAGAGATTTTAAGTTGTCCTGACGATTCACGTGACGTCAGAGTATGTGTACTCCTATGCATAAATTTAAATGTGACTGCATCACTACAGCAGTGACACTGATTCTTTCTGTCTTTGCAAAAACTTAAATATGAAACGTAATATTCAAATGTTTTAAAATGCTAAAATGCTAAAATCTAAGGCTGTGAGAAGTGTCCACACGTCAAGACCAATCCTCTCTCTCTTCGCACTCATTGTATCTCCAATCCTGTGCTCCCTTCCTCCCTTTCTTCCTCCTCCTCTCTCTCTCTCTCTCTCTCTCTCTCTCTCTCTCTCTCTCTCTCTCTCTCTCTCTCTCTCTCTCTCTCTCTCTCTCACTCACTCTCTCTCTCTCTCTCTCTCTCTCTCTCTCTCTCTCTCTCTCTCTCTCTCTCTCTCTCTCTCTCTCTCTCTCTCTCTCTCTCTGCCTCTCTCTCTGCCGTGTCTGTCGTCCCTCTCGCCTCACCTCATCTGTAAAATCGTGATCCCAGGCCGGGCAGGCGTGGCCGTACACGTTTAGCCTCGCGATGCCGCCGTCTGGGAAGGCATTTAGGCGGACCACGTTGTAGACATTTCGGTCGCTGACTGGGGCGAAGTTGTGGCGCGTCTGCCGGTAGCCGGCCCGCAGACGACACATCGAGGTGATTCTCTGCCAGCGCTGCAGGAAGGCGGCGGTGTGGTTATGTTACATGTGGAGGGAATGAGCTGACCTAATGTCGAAATGCATGGATCGAGTTCACGGTTTGATGTGAAGGGCATGAAGACTACAGACAGAAACACATCGGTACGTATATTTTATTTTCATTTTAGTGCATTCCGGTAACAGTGTCATCCGTATGAACTAATTTATGACTACCTAACTTGCCGATGATCATCTCTATAGCAAAAATAAATGTGAATTGTTTATTTATACAAGCCATTACGATTTACAAGTAGGTACGTACAACACTGTAAGCAATGACGGTGAAAACAGATTTAGATCAATTTTCTTTTTTTTCAAATAAAAACTTTGCCTTGGCGGCTAGCGCATCAGCCACTATCCTCAGAGTTAATTAGAGCGTTGTCCCCACCACTACATTTCTAAAATTAAGTCACATTCCTGTGGAAGGAAATTTGAATAGCTTTGAAATGTGGTGACTATTACGCTAAGTGAGACTCCAAGTGAATATGTTAATGCGTCGACGGCTAATAAAATGTAGATAAGGTGGCGTCAGGCTGGGGCGACACTTACCTCCGTTTTGAGCGCTTTTACCGCCTTCAACTCCTCTGCTGTTGCAGCCTTGCCCTGCCCGCTGCGTCGGGGTGGAAACCGGGCGAGATCTGGCCAAAAATCAGAAACGGATTCGGTCACAATCAAATTGATCTGATACTTATTCATAAACGCTTATGGAATTTAAGCAGGAGGCACATATATAACAGTGAATGCAACAGGTTACCTATCCTTACTGGACCAACCAAAATTCAAGTAAAGGTCAAGACCAGCACTCGTTTGAGGCGAATCAAAGGTTTTGAAACAGGAAGCCAGGAGTGAGTGTGTGGTGTCGGATACGACGTGATGCAAATCACAGTGTATAAGTGCACACAGTGAGTGAGTACCTACACCTCGAGGAAGGCTATGTAGTGTCGAGACTATAAAAGCTCTGAGCGCCGTCTTTTATATCTTGTCACCTACGCTGTGGTTTTATAAAACGTTCACACATCACACATGGATAAAAACTCACTATTCTTGTCAGTTACGGCATTCCGCTGACCATCACATAATCTAGCAACTTAAATATTAACCCTCAGGCGGTGGGGGGCATTTTTTGCCCCCCCCCCCTTAGTTTTTTCGATATATCTCCAGAACCGCTGCACTGATCGTCACCAAACTTTCAGTATCCTCCCGTGAATAGCTTTTACACATTTTGACCAATTTTTTAAGGCTATGATAGATTGGCCGCTAATGACGTCGGAGTGACGTCATTTCTGCCATTTTCAACAAAAAAAGGTTTCGCGGGAAGAGCTGTCAGGCCTACAGCTTTAGAGATACAAAAAAAGAATCTGACATAAAAGGTGCACAATTAACAGGGCTGTAAACTGCTATCTCGGATTTTTTTTAATATAAACCCCAAAAATCAAAAAATATATTTTTTGAATATAATAGCCGAAAAATCCAAAAAGTTTTTTTGAATTTCGAAAAAAACGGAATATATGTGATAGTCACTACCTACCGCGTTCTATCTACATACCATATTTGAGATCGATATCTCTTTTTTGGCCAACTTATAGCAAAAAAAAAACATCAAAATTGATGACGTCAAATTTTCAAACTCAATGTTGAGAAATTCTAGACTACGTAGCGCAAAACAAAGACCACTATCAGACTCGCCGTAACGAGCTGCATCGAATCGATACCCATTTTACGCAAAACTATCAACTTTGAAATTTGACCTAATTTGACCTAACCTTGAACTGACCTTCACCAGAAAGTGACCTTAACCGTACCTGATGGCCGTATAACCAACACCATTGAGTTGGAAATAAAAAATTGGCCATAAACCATGCATCGCACAACCCATAGTAAAGTTGGGTTCATGTGCTGACCCTTGGTGACCTGACCTGTGACCTGACCTGGTATTATCAGTGACCTCTAATAGCAACATATGTACGTACATACTAGGCAACTGACGCCCTATCGCTGATTTTCGACAAAATACGTTTTATTCGATGTTGTACAATGTACATACCTAGCGCTTTCCCTATAGAAGACCCGTGAACGGTGAAGCATTTTATGTTTGACCTGATCTGTGACGTCATCGGTGACCCCGAGGTCAATGAAATTGGAGTTCCCTCAACAAATATGACAGAGCTATCGAACGCCGTTTGAATTTTACGGATCCGTCCAGAAGTTTCGGAGATACGAGGGGGGCAAAAAAGTGCCCCCCCCCCCCGCGCGGAAGGTGGCCGGGAGGCCCGCCGCCTGCCGGGTTAACGAACTTATTTTAAAGGAAAAGGGCCACCTTCGTGAAATATGAAGATATCGTTGTTTTTCATTTTGACATTATTATTTTTCATTTTCTTTTTAAAACTGGTGCCAGAAGTGCACAATTCGCGAAAAAGTATTTAAAACTATTTAACATATTGGTACTATGTTGATACTCTCTACGGCACCTACTGTATGATGACATAGCGATGACGTCACACTCAAGCCAATCAGCGTTCAGAAGACAGACTCGTCGGATTGTGTCAGATAAGCTGATTGGTTAAAGCTGAGCTGGTTGGAGCTGATTGGTAAAAAACCAAAGCCTCGCCGCGGGTGGCTGTATTGTCGGATAAGAACGCATTCCTGGGATAAGGACGCATTCCTGGCGTATTTTCTTTTAAAATTGCCGATAACTACGAATGGAGGCCGAAATCGGCCGTAAGGAGGTAGACAGTTAGGTTTTCGGACACGGGCTACAAGATGGCTATCTCAGTTTCAATCCTAATGTTAAAGGTGGCCCTTTTCCTTTAAGTAGACTTGGAATATGGATATACATACAATGGTAAAAATAGTCAGCGTTGCTAAGGTTCCATCTATGACCGTAGATAATATTAGATCTGTCGGGACTCCAATGACGCCACTTGGATCGGATATCGTCTGCGGATTGGCATCGCAGCCGCGACATGACATTGTGACAGACAGACAGACAGACAGACAGACAGACAGACAGACAGACAGACAGACAGACAGACAGACAGACAGACAGACAGACAGACAGACAGACAGACAGACAGACAGACAGACAGACAGACAGACAGACAGACAGACAGACAGACAGACAGACAGACAGACAGACAGACAGACAGACAGACAGACAGACAGACAGACAGACAGACAGACAGACAGACAGACAGACAGACAGACAGACAGACAGACAGACAGACAGACAGACAGACAGACAGACAGACAGACAGACAGACAGACAGACAGACAGACAGACAGACAGACAGACAGACAGACAGACAGACAGACAGACAGACAGACAGACAGACAGACAGACAGACAGACAGACAGACAGACAGACAGACAGACAGACAGACAGACAGACAGACAGACAGACAGACAGACAGACAGACAGACAGACAGACAGACAGACAGACAGACAGACAGACAGACAGACAGACAGACAGACAGACAGACAGACAGACAGACAGACAGACAGACAGACAGACAGACAGACAGACAGACAGACAGACAGACAGACAGACAGACAGACAGACAGACAGACAGACAGACAGACAGACAGACAGACAGACAGACAGACAGACAGACAGACAGACAGACAGACAGACAGACAGACAGACAGACAGACAGACAGACAGACAGACAGACAGACAGACAGACAGACAGACAGACAGACAGACAGACAGACAGACAGACAGACAGACAGACAGACAGACAGACAGACAGACAGACAGACAGACAGACAGACAGACAGACAGACAGACAGACAGACAGACAGACAGACAGACAGACAGACAGACAGACAGACAGACAGACAGACAGACAGACAGACAGACAGACAGACAGACAGACAGACAGACAGACAGACAGACAGACAGACAGACAGACAGACAGACAGACAGACAGACAGACAGACAGACAGACAGACAGACAGACAGACAGACAGACAGACAGACAGACAGACAGACAGACAGACAGACAGACAGACAGACAGACAGACAGACAGACAGACAGACAGACAGACAGACAGACAGACAGACAGACAGACAGACAGACAGACAGACAGACAGACAGACAGACAGACAGACAGACAGACAGACAGACAGACAGACAGACAGACAGACAGACAGACAGACAGACAGACAGACAGACAGACAGACAGACAGACAGACAGACAGACAGACAGACAGACAGACAGACAGACAGACAGACAGACAGACAGACAGACAGACAGACAGACAGACAGACAGACAGACAGACAGACAGACAGACAGACAGACAGACAGACAGACAGACAGACAGACAGACAGACAGACAGACAGACAGACAGACAGACAGACAGACAGACAGACAGACAGACAGACAGACAGACAGACAGACAGACAGACAGACAGACAGACAGACAGACAGACAGACAGACAGACAGACAGACAGACAGACAGACAGACAGACAGACAGACAGACAGACAGACAGACAGACAGACAGACAGACAGACAGACAGACAGACAGACAGACAGACAGACAGACAGACAGACAGACAGACAGACAGACAGACAGACAGACAGACAGACAGACAGACAGACAGACAGACAGACAAGAAACACACACATTCATTAACATTGGCAACCAACTGCGCCACACATGTACCCGGCATATGCTACAAAGTGCACATGCACCAGCAATAAAGACATCAAACAGCATGCATAAGCGCTGCCACGCGCCTCCTAAAAGTACCAGTGTTCATTAGAATAAACCCTGGCCGGTTCAACTCGGTCATGCGGTGCCAAGCCCCCGCCATGATTGATCGCATCTCTCTGGATTGCGTCAGACTGGCTGCGTCCAGCTGTCCTGCGGTCAAGACGACCCGTGACCACCCCCTCGACCGGTCTGTAGATGTAAATGCTCGGGCGGTATAAGTATGTGCCTCTCCCGACTCCCGTGCCGCGCTGCTCACCGCTGCTCACCGCTCTCACAGCTCTCACCTTCCTCGGAGAGCAGTGCCGCCTGAACGGAGGCGCGCGGCACATAGTTGCCCGTAAAAAATGCCGTGTCAAAATCCACTCCATAGATGACTGCAGGCATGGCTGCAGGCACAGAGGGGCGGAGGGGGCGGGTGGGGGACAGCAGTGACTGATGTGTCTGGGGAGGGGCGGTGAGGGGCGGGGAGGGGGCTGTTGTCGTCTGGGTACATCACAGGGTCAGGGACAAACAGACAGCCAATGACATGGCAACGACCAGGCCTCTTCGGTCCGACAGGGCTGTGATGGCGGCCAGCTGGGGTCATCGTACTGGAGTATGTTCCAGCCGAGACTGGAACAGCCGCACAACAAACTTTGACATTCTTCGACTTGGACATCAATCTCAGACGGACATTCTTCGTTCAAGACATTGGAAGAGTTAATCTCAATGTTTGTCCTCGGAATTGGAGCTACTAACTAGCATACAATGTCATAGAGCCGAATGTTTATTGATTTAAAGAAGAGGATATTGAATATTGATGAGCATATACATCTGTATCTTTATCAGGCCTGTACCTATGGAATAGGATCTTTTAATACAGGTATAGAAAATATTTCTATAGTTTTACGTGGAAAAACTTTCTATAGTCTTCAAAGCTGAAAAACTATTAGTGTAGGAGCCCATCTAAGTTCAAAGGTGAGTTGATAAGGATAGGTATTAGGTACTGAGTACCTATGTTATTTTGTAGTCAATCAGTGATCGATAGATCGGTATATTGCCAAGGCAATGGCATAGAAGACATAACCGTAGAAAGCATCCAGCTATAAATGACTTTCATGAGTGTACGGAGGAATAAAAATCCAAAAGGCATGGCAAAAAATGAAAAAAAGCTTTTAACAAAAATAAACGTAAAATTGTAATATTGCATGGGACTTGCGCTTGATTCGCTAATAGGTATAGATCAACAACAGCGCGATATATGCATATAAATGTTCATACCTACCCATTAACAAAAAAAATTATGCTGCTTCCCTAATCACTTTGAGATTCTAATTAGTATCCTATTTATAGTTCAATTAGTTTCCACTAACGAGCAACGTTCATATGTGGACGCATCAGATTTCCTCTCTCGGCGCATGACATTACAGCAGCAGGTCAATATAGCTGAGAGGCTGAGACCATGGAACCCAAATGTCGTTATTTTACATGCCGAGCTCGTTGGCGAAATTTGATCATGCATAATGTGAATAAGCTCGGTCCTCGGGCCAGATTTTTTCCCGATACCGACTCCATGGTGACGCAGCCTTATTGTTCGCGAGTCCGACTATGCCCACACTGATGACTAGCCAATGAGAATTAATTGTCACCTTGTGATCCATCAATTCACTCTTCACTCAGGTTGGTGATACAGATGTCAATATGTGTCCAATATTCTTGTTGATTTCGCCCTTACCCAGTTTGATGATGCACCAGTCGTGGCCTGGTATTCGCTTGCGGCGTGTCTCCCAGCCGTCCATCCACTTCCCTTCGGAGGAGAAGAGGCCCTCCTTGAAAATCGGCTCCGTGGCCTGCGGAAAACTGACCAGTTAAATTTAGCATACCACTACCTATATTAAGAATTATTGAGAGATGCCAATGTTGACAATCAATGGTATTAGCCGTTTTCACGACGGCCATCTGGTACACATTTGGTGCACGGCTGGTACAGATTAGGTGCAGATTTGGTCAAATCAGGTTCAGTGTGTCTCTTAGCAGCTACCAGCATAGGGTTGCACTAATTGCTTATATGCCTGCTTTGCAATATTATCAGAGAGCATCATCGATTAAAACACTGAAATAAATTCATAAAATGAAGATATTTGCTGTAAAAGAAATTAGGTGCAGATTTGGTCAATTCAAGTGCATTTGCCGGATAGCCCGTCGTGAAAACGGCTATTATCTACCCCGTAAAATTGAAATGTGGGTGTTCTGTAGCATATTGCAATACATTATCGAACTGTGTCTCGTGTTGTGCCATTGAGAAGGAGACACTGACCATTTCCAGCGCTAAGCCCGGTTTTCACGGCCTGAAGCTATGAGCTGTCAGATGTCCGGCAAAGGTTGCCGAGGCGAGCATCTCACCTATCATCTCTGAGTTTTATCTGCTCTTTAGCCCTGTCGTGTTACACAGCCTTGCCGCTTCAAATGGCATTGAGGTAAGACTTCACCTACCTAAAGGCTATCTGATGAGCACGGCCACGGGAGAGTTATCAGTAATTCTATTCCTATATCTTTATGGGGGTAAATACTTTAATTGATTACCGAGATAATTCAGCACAAAAAACGCCTTGACGTGTCATCTGACAATTGTGTCACCTACCTTGGTCAGATTTTCGGCGGCAGCAAACCAGTCATCGGTGGCGAATAAAATTTCGCATTCCTGAAAGAATAAAGCATTGTCATTGCTCGACACGGCATGTACCGTAGACGACTTCACAAGTATACATGTAAATTACCTAATGATCCGAAAATGCCTATCCTTATGGCAATGAGTGTAGTAGCTCTGGCTAACTACCACCACGTAACTATGTATCACATGCCGCATGTTTCATTACAAATCGTAATTGAAGCTGCTGAATTATATAGACTGCGTGGTCAAAACCAATTTACTAAAACAATTTGACCAATTTGCATGTTGGTTACAACAAAAAATGTGTTGCAAAGCTTGACAATTTGTTAAGTAAGCATTCAAAATAATCGGACCATCTTTTGACAATGAGACCACAAATAAGATAAAAATGAAACGCATTGGTATGATCGAAGCATTATGCTTGTAAAAGAAGTATCAGACATCATATCTATAGCATCCGGTATGATCATTGGTCGATAATGCCACATCGATCGATAAGACGTTTCCTGCGTGTCATATTTTTACTATTTAGTTTACTAGGAGTAAAATAAACTTAATATTACACAGTTTTCACTTTTAAGCACAGCACAGCAACGTAGAAAATAGGCAGATTTTAACTTTAAAATGCAAATGCAAACATGAAACGTACCTATAAAGATATCCAAACGTTTTATCCACGCCTTATATGTATGTAATATAAGGGGATTTTTTACCGGTTCAGGAGTGATGTGTAGAAAGACGTCGCCGGTGGCTGCAAACAGCCAGTAGCGGCGCGGAATACCTTCAATTAAAGGGGGGGGGGGGGGCACTGCCGACTTTTGGTCCCATTCTTTCCATGCAACGCCCATAAGGGCTAATGTTAAAATGTCAAAATCAAAGGGGGGCAGAGTACCCAGGTGCCCTATGGTTCCCCAGGTTCTGCCGCCTATGCAAACAACATTTTTTACGTAGGATAACAGCATTATTGCGAATTGACGCACACAGAGAGTTAGATATAGCTCACCGTGCCGGCGGTGAGATTATTCATCTCAGCAAACCGAGGAATGTCCACCGAAACGTCTTCCTGACGAATAGCCATCTTCCTGAAAAGGTTGAATATAACATAACAGTAATTAAAGGTCACAGTTCACGCTCCGTCTGGAAGACAATCCCATGCAAATGATATGAAACAGTACCTATGCATCGATAGAAATTATTAGTGTAAGTCAAGGGTTAAACGATCATTTCTGAGGCCGTCAACAACCCTCTATTGGTTATGGCTGATTGGTAATAATATTAATCAAATGATATTACAGTAAATAGTTTTGGTATCATCACCTATGTCATGACTGGCTGCGTCGAATGATTTACCTCTTCTTGAAACCTGACGTTCTTGCTGAACTCAGGACAAACCAAAGGTCACGCCGCACTCGCGTTTAGTTTAAAGGTAGTGTGCCAGCTTTCTTGGACCGTATGGAGTTAATGGCCCAGATAAGGAGAACCGGATTTTTAGAACTTATCCATACCTTCAAAACTCATGGAAACGTCTTAAATTCTTCAAATTTTGAGTAGGGGAAGTTGGGGGAACGCCGAATACTTTTTTTCTGACGCCCGTAGCACGCAAGGTAGACAACATAAGCTATTCTTGTTGGCGTCATTCGATAGGCCAGTCTTTTGTCTTTCAAACATACCAGGCGCATTTGATGAATTCGCATACCGTTAAGCGCAAAAACTAAAAATATCAAAGAACTGACTTTTTCGGCGTTGCCCCGGACTGCGGGGAAAGCCGAAAATGGGATAAATGATCTACGAGGAATGCCGACATTGATGTTTTGCCAATTTATCTCAAACTTTATCCAAAATTCATCAAAGCTGACACGCGTTTTAAGAGCTTGAGGACGCTTGGTGCACACTGGAGGTTATAATTGTGTGATATAATAAGAAAATGCCAGGTAAATCATTCCTTATAGGTAACAGGCCGTTGTGCCGGCTGAAAGTGTAATTTGTTTGACTAAAAATACGCGTTGCTATTCTACAGCAGTTAAGTCCACGTAGCGTGCTTTAACGTGCGTAATTGCACGTTTTCGGCATTACTCCAGCCAGCCATACTTTCATTTGCAGGCCCATAACTTTTAAACGTGCTGTATAAATTTCAAATAGGCAGCACACTTATGCAAAGACATGCTGAAGATTACTTGACCGAATTGGCCAGACAAACGGTAGCATAATGAGTAAGAAATGCAGCTTCAAAGGCGCATGTAGTACAAGGGAAACGTACCTTGAAAACGCTTTTGGCGCCCTCACAGCCGAAGTATTCCAAATGACGACTCATAACAAACATGCGATAATTGTAGTCACTTAAGCTTCAGAGCATCACTGAGACGTGGCATCCATGTCGTACGGTTTTAAAAATATCTCGAATTTCGGCTTTGCCCCAACTCCGGCATTGCCCCAACTTCCCCTACCCCAGTGCGAAATTCGCCCCGACGGGTTGTCGGTCGTACCCCAACCACATTTCACACCACTATGAACAATAAATGCACACACTGAAATCGCTATTACCGATATGTTCATCCAATCAAGTTTCGATAAACCCGTTCATCATCATCTCCTGCGGTTTCGAACACGCCTGTTAGGTGGCTTCTGATGCTCGTCGAGGTCGGAATTTCCAAATACGCGTGGTGCGTCGGGCCGCGCGCTCTGACTTCGGCCAAGAAAAATGCGTCAGCTGATCATTGTCATTTCTGCCACTTGCGTGTGGTGAAATGGGGTCATAACTTATAAGACGGCTTTTTCATATCAATTATTTTACATAAAATCATATTTCAAACCATAATGTTCAACAGCCAAATAAAAGAAACAATACCAATACGGGCTTACAGTTTAAGGCTCGACATTGTGTTGTCTACGATTAGACAGCTGATAACTCATTCCCGTACGTCGTATGGTCGTAACACTATAATGACCTTTGCTTATTGTCACAAGTGCGCCGCATTCGCGATTGTTGCCCGACGCCTGTTTGCAGGTGAGCCCACTACAGTTGTTATACATATCTAAAAACCGAAAAACTTTTAGGCGAAAAAGGCACTATTCCGGGCCCATTTTTGATTTTTTTTTTTGCGATATTAGGTAAAAACAGAAGCTTCTTATCCTAGGAAAAATAAAATGGGAAATCTTTCAAAGGTGGCACACTACCTTTAAAAAATCAAAATTTCCGATGAACTCAAATGGCCTCATAAACGTCACATTTGACATCACACAAGTGTCAAAGTCCAAAATGCAAAAAGTGAACAACAGAACTGGCTCGTAAGGTGAGAAATCTCTATTTCAAAATAAAATATATTATTTTCTATATTTTAATATTAGGAAGAACAATTCAGTTTTAACCCGCGACCGCCTGGGGGGGGGTCGGATCCGACCCCCCCCCCTCCGTTTTTTCTTGAATAACTCATGAACCACTTTCGCTATCTACTTGAAACTTGGCATACCTTCTCCCCCATCAATTTGACGTCTCCTGTGCAATTTTTAAGAAAAAATTTCCAAAAATTTTTGAGATATATCGATTTTAGTGATGTAACTACATGGCGTTTTTAGTCAAAAAGTGGTAAATGTTTAAAAAATCGCCAAAAATCAGGGTTTAAAGCAAATTGCAAATTAAGCACATGAAAAGACGCAGCTCAACGAGTTCTTTAAAATGGCTATCTCGGATTTTCCATAAAATGCGTTTTTCACCCCAAAAAATTCAAAAAACTGCATTTTTTGGAAAACAGCTAATAAAATCCAAAATTTTGGGAATTTCCAAAAAAAAACGGAATATATGTTGTAGAGCTCTATTAGAACATTAGATGTCCCAAATTTCAACTTTCTATCTTGATTTTTGACCCCCAAATTGTAAAAAAATAGCTCCAACATGCATAGGGCATGGTGACGTCATAAACATTTTCGTGAATTAGAGGCACTTCTGAACATCGCATGTGAAAACAAATGGCACCACTAGATTCCTGGGACAAAGCTCGTCTAGAAAAGTGTATTTTTATGTCAAAAATAAAAAGTTGAAAAATTGACTTTTTTTCTTAGCCCTCCTTTAGTTATGTAGGGTATAAACGATTTTTTATGCTTTCAATGCACACTTATCACCAGCACAGTGATTTGGGGTCACATATAACCATTACCATCGGATTCGGCGTGAAAAATAAGCCATAAAACATGTGTCGCACGCCCATGTAGCAGAAATTGAAAACCGTGACCTTTCGTGACCTGACCTGACCTTGACCCGTACTAAGTATGACCCCTATACGCACATGGTACCTTCACTAGGCCTTTGAGGTCATTTTTTGGTGAGTTTCGAGCAGCAGCTATCGATTCCGCTGTCCGTAAGCCTAATCATGCAAAACCCCTGAATTTGACCTTTGACCTGACCTTGACCCGAAAGTTGACCTCAATCTTAAAATCTTAAGAGTGCTTTGGGAAGGTCTCGTAGAGACCTTTCGAACGCCGCCTCGCGGGGCTCGATACGACCATTGGTTCGCGAGATAACAGGGGGGGGGGGGTCGGATCCGACCCCCCCCCCCCCAGGCTGTCGTGGGTACGGAAATAGCCCAGGCGGTGCCGGGTTAAAAGAGGGAAATGGCCCGTGCAAGGCAGTTTTTTCGGGAGGAGAAATGGAATATTTTTGCCTAGGGTGATCGTTGGGCCGTAAAAGCCCCTGATTTGTGCTGGTCTCAGCTCAAGCTACGGAACTGCTATTCCAGTTCAAAACCCTCATGTGAACTATTTCCTTTAACAGAACTGAGGTATTCTAAATTTGTCGTCCTAAGCGAGCAAGAAAAACCGTCATGGATTGGGCGGCAACAGCCCTTTTCTCGGCTGATGGCATAAGTCCTTCTAGGTGCAGGTGGCTCCAGCCCTTCCGTCAGCAAAGAAGCATAATAGCATAATCGGCACACTCCAAGCGATCCTCTATCAAGTGCTGGTCAACCTACTCAATAAGCTGCACCAACAAACCAATTGGGCCGCGTCATAAAGTGACAGGGCGTATCCTGCGAGCGACTAGTCGTCGCGTGTATTTTACTCAGTTTCATTTTGATAATGTCCTCGCCGCCTACGTACTATTCAAGGGCGTTGACATACGGACAATGCTTCTGTCAGACCTATTATAGTGAAAGTCACAATTACAGTGACGCGGAACGGGTGTTTGAAATTACAAGCTCACCAGCACATTAAAGTTAAGATCTTAAAGGTAGACTGCCACCTTTTTTCCACAAAACGGTTTTCACTAGAGCTGAGCCACCTATGTCCCAGACTGAAGTCGGTTTTCCGAAATTCGAACCCGTTTGCGAGAAATCGGAGACCAAAGTTCAGTTTGATGCCATTTTTTTAGTCCAAGAAAACCGACATCTCTACTGTTTATCGATAACTTTGAAACATGAATTTTCTTACCTTTTGGTAAATATATGTCAAAACTTTGATTGTTTCGAGATCAGAGAAGAATTTTGGAGTGTCAAAATAAAAGTTAAACTTATATATTCAGTAGTTCATTTTTTCCAAAAAAGTGTGGGAAATGGGGTTTAACATGGGCCAGACCCATTCCAAATGAGCCATGATTTTTAAATGTTTTACGAACTTAAATGCAAAATAAATTAAACATGGCCAATTTCTTATGAAATCATATATTAGTAAATCATAAAATACCTTACTTTTTTAAATAAAATGTAATAATCTTATGACCTTGAAGTCTAGTGATGTGTAAACATTGTCGCTAGACATTAACCGATTGATAAATGTATGATAATCGACAATTTTTTTCGCGATTCACGTGATGATACTTTGTCAGGTGAATTCTAAAATTTTGTTTTGTCCAGGGAATAAATCATAGGCCGATCTGAGAAAACTTTTTGAAGGTGGCAGTCTTCCTTTAATGAGACAGCACGAAATGAACTTATCAGCAAATACGGAAAGTATTCCCTCATTATACACTATACAGGGTTATAGTATTGAGTTACCCATGCATTCATACGACCGGGCAAATTCAAAAAGCAAATTGACGTCCAGTCCCTAGTCAAAACGTGAAGCGCATCGCTATGCAAAAATTGTTGGGGACGGTGCAGGTCAAATTATATTTATTGGGACGCCGCTATAGTTTTAGGCCGTTCTATTGTGTAGGCGTAAATAACCTGAGTTGTCCTCGCCACCGCTAATTTTTAAGCACTTCCCGAAGGAATAAAATCGCTTTGTTTCCTCACTTGCTATGCATCCTTTAATTCAAGTCAGCACAATAGAAGTCAATCGCCGAGCATTTGTCCCAATTTACTGACAATTTCTATTCTAAATATAAATGCACCTTGATACATATTACCGCTCATTTACCTAAGTGAATAGGTACTCATGGCGCATCAAAGGGAGCAAACGTTTACAGGTGAAAGCATCAGAGAGCAAAACGTTTATAAAAGCATGCCCTCCACTTACAAGTCAGAAGTCGTTTAGAGTCGCTTTTCTGCTCTGCACTCTCGTGACGAAAGACGGCTGGCTTTGTGGACCTGAAACCTGTCGTGAAGCAGACCTTTGATCCGGCACTTCAAACTAGTCTCCCAAAGGTGCCGACACTTCTGAGTGAATTCGTTATAGGTGCGGACACTCAAATCTCGCGGTCACTGCACTCGTATGGACACTCCGGCTCCTGAGTTTCCGCGTGTTTGGACACTCTGGATCGACCAGCGCCAGCCGTCCCGACACTCCGAGTCGGGGAGAGGGAAAGAGGGCGCGCTGGGTGTCCGCTGCCGCTGACCGGGTCACCAGGCGAGGCGCAGTTTGCGCCGGGAGCGGAGCCGGCTCTCAACACCTCCCTCCGCCCCTCTGCCCCTCCCCCCACATCACCCCTCCCCCACAACACCACCGACACAGACGGACGACCCACGGGCGGCACCAGGGCGCCCTGGTCAGAGACTATCCGGAACGTTCTGGTTATGAGAGAGCTCAGATGAGGTTGGGCTCATAAAGGCGTATACAGTTTACCTTAGGATGTTGCCTGTTTTGGAAGAAGTGCTAAGTGACTAGTTCTGCATATCGGTGCGGCAGCCCGGTGCACTCACTGGTCTTGGACGCTGCCGGGGAGGGGGGGAGGCATGGCCCCAAATAAGTTTCTCTAAATTTCAAGTACCTTCTCATCGGATTTTGATTCCTTACGCACTGCTGTGTATGTAGTTTAAAATACTTTTCCCTAAAACTGTTTAGTTTCGTTTTATTCTCGAAAAAAAACGCAAATTTGCGGTGATTTTGGGTCCTGCGGAAAATAATTTGTCCCGAATACTGCCCCCCCCCCCCCCCCCCTGGATCCGCAAGTGCCATGATATGGATTTTCGTGTGATCATGAAGAACTTCTTACATTTTATTTTTACGTTTAACTATTTAAATCAGGTGGTTCATAATCAAAACGGTGCGCCAATGGTAAAAGAAATAATTTTTGTTATTTTTATGTGCCTATACCTACTGACTGAGCAATGAACAACCATAGGTTTTGACAATTTATTCAAATGCGGCGACTTTTTGCGGTATTAGGGGTGATGGACCCTATCATATAAGACCTTTTTATGATCGGAGTACCTATTTAGTGTAGGTTTCACCTCAAACGCTAGATGAAAACCGTGTAATGTTTCGACACAGACATTTGCATTTTGCTCTATAACATTAGAAAGCGTTTCCTGGGCTTACTATGTACGACACATTTTTTTTTTTAATTTCTGGCATTAGCCAGAAACCCGTAAGCAATTACGCAAACGTTTTGTGCGGTTGAGCCAGAGTGCCTGTCTTATGTGATGAGGCACATGGACGAGCCGCACACAAACCGACATTATGTTCCTCTTCGTATCGGTAGTATGGAAAGGAAAAAATGACGCTAGTTCACGCAATTTAGTGCCGTCGTTCTCAAACTTTCAACTCTAATCTTGTGCATTTTTGCGTTCTGCTGAAGGCATGCCGTATAGAACGGCGATCAGAATCGCCAACACTTCCCCTGCTCTCTGCAGTCCTAGCGTGTTCAAGTCTAATGTTCGGGTGTTCCTATTCAATCATTCAGAAACGCCATAGCCACTCGCCCTCGCAATATATTTCGCAGACTCATTCAACTTCTTGAGAACCATCGACAAAAATAGAACATCTTGTTTGTACACAGAGCCATTGATACAAGCAGCACGTCTAGAGAAGCAGGCGACCTGCACCGGTCAACAGTCGACCCTTCGACCGCTCGCCGGTCTGCAGCGAACTGCGCCGAACTGCCCGAGCCGTCAGAAGAAGACACTGACAACCACATCACAATCATCACAACCAAGAGCAGCACGCCACAGCACCGTCCATCCAGCGGGCTGCGCGACAACAACAACCTCAGTAACATCGCCACCAGCGCGCTCACATTCTCAAACAGGCATCACAGGAGGCGGCGTCAGTAGCGGACACAGCAGAGCGGTGCGCCAACAACTGAAGCAAGAGATCGAGCAATGTCTGCGACCGACACAAGGTCTCGCCAACATTACATGGAGCACATCAGTGCTGAACCACCCAGTAGCTATTCAGTACAAACGTTGCCGTGGGTGTCAGTTTGGCCCATGGTGCCCGGAATCCACAGCAATGTGGAAACGATGGCGCATGGATCAGTGCACCGCCTTAGCCCTCTGACGCTTCACATCCACACCCGGAACAGTCACAAAGCCAATTACCCCTACACCGGTCAGAAATATATGCTCTTAGAGGTCACGACGCACAAGCACAGAACAGCTGTTGGCACTAGGGTGTATCGTCGAATTTTGATTTTTTTTAATCGTCTTCACTACTAAATTTTATTGGTCCCTGGCATGTTTGAAGCCGTAGGATACCAATCAAAAAAATCTGGGACGAAAACCTAGCCTGCTGCGAGAGGTTGAACGGAAGCCTTTCGGGGCGGCGCCAGGCGTTGAAGTCTCCCCGTTAGTTACGCGCACACTAGCACCACGCGGCGGCTGGCGCCGTGCCGCCGCGTTCCCGGTCAGCCGTGTTTTAGCGTTCACTGACGGGTCGAGGTGATTATTCTAAGCTTTCCTAAGAAGCTTTCTGTCCCGCAGCTCATTATTGAGCAAGAATATCGCACAAACTGCATAGAACATTGACATGCAGGTTGTCGGCACATCGGAGAAGGGGATGCTTTGGTTAATGCCTCCTTTAATAGGAAGAGATTGTGGAAGAACAACACATTTCTTTTGGAAATTACTCATCCTCCTTCTTCCTACGTGCCTGCTTTAGTAATCGAAGTACCCCTATTGACTCTACGTTCTTGATTCGGCTGTGGATTTTATGATAAAGTTCCTAGTTCCCAGACTGGGTTTGGAGATATTATAGTTTTACAGAAACATTTGGGAATGTCTGTAATGTAAGTTAAAGCGAATACCGAAAGGAATCCACATATTTTCGATTTCCTGTATGCTGTATTGCTTACGTCATGCCAGACGTCATGATGGCATGGTTGCGATTGATGGTATGTCGGATGGTCAGGGTACGAACTCACGGTAAGTCAGCTTGGCCGGCAGGCATCAACAGGCACAATAGTCTTACACTGATATCGTCACCCTCAGTTATTCGTCACCATTCAGCAGCAGGCCCAGAGCTTCGGGCTTTGAACCGTAAGGTACAGGTGTAGGAGCAAGACATTGCGCCGATTCGAAGGGCTGGAAGGGCAGCATCGCGGGGGCTGGAATGCGCCTGAGCGGCTGAGACCATCCCATTGGGACGGGGGTGTTCTGAGTGCACTCAGCCGCTCATGCTGGGAAATGCATCCAATGGAGCTCTACCCCATCCCCCCGTTTCGAATGATTAGGGTGACCTTTAGTCTAGAACAAGGCAGGATGACTGTTGGCTGGTCCCGAGGATAGATACAAAGGACAGGTAATGACATATAATGAATCGAAGACGGCCCCGGTCCGATCCTCTGATAGAGGCTCATCAACACGTATCTCGTTGTGGACCATTTCGTTTTCCTCCACCGTAGTTTTTGCACCGACCTGAACGGGTTGGAAGCCGAAGGTAACGATGTTCAGAAACCATTAAGATCGTAATTGTATATTCGTTGTATATTCGTTCACTGAACAGGTAGGACAGGTTCAACACAGTCAAAACCTCATCCTATCATCCAATAATTATAAAGTAGTCTTCATGGAATGGAAAGGCTAACCTAACTCAACGAATATACAATTACGACCTTAATGGTTTCTGAACATCGTAATCTTCCAACCCGTTGAGGTCGGTGCAAACACCACGGTGGAGGAAAACGAAATGGTCCACAACGAGATACGTGTTGATGAGCCTCTATCAGAGGATCGGGCCGGGGCCGTCTTCGATTCATTATATGATGTCATTACCTGTCCTTTCTATCCTCGGGACCAGCCAACCATCATCCTTCTTTGTTCTAGACTAAAGGTCAGCCTAATCATTCGAAACGGGTGGGGATGGGGTAGAGCTCCATTGGATACATTTCCCAGCATGAGCGGCTGAGTGCACCCAGAACACCCCCGTCCCAATGGGATGGTCTCAGCCGCTCAGGAGCATTCCAGCCCCCGCGATGCTGCCCTTCCAGCCCTTCGAATCGGCACAATGTCTTGCTCCTACACCTGTGCCTTACGGTTCAAAGCCCGAAGCTCTGGGCCTGCTGCTGAATGGTGACGAATAACTGAGGGTGACGATATCAGTGTAAGACTATTGTGCCTGTTGATGCCTGCCGGCCAAGCTGACTTACTGTGAGTTCGTACCCTGGCCATCCGGCATACCATCAATCGCAACCATGCCATCATGACGTCTGGCATTTACTAAGCAATACAGCAAACAGGAAATTCGAAAATATGTGGATTCCTTTCGGTATTAGCTTTTAACTTACATTACAGACATTCCTAAATGTTTCTGTAAAACGATATCTCCAAACCCAGTCTGGGAACTGGGAAGTGGGCAATTGCATCCTTATAAAAATAAAGTCGTGAAAATTACAATGGTGACAACGGCTGCTGGTACACGACAAGGCTCACACATTTTGGCATACAAAACGCATGACCACATTGACTTTTTCTCTGCAGTTGTGAGCTGAGCATTGCTGTCCCGTGACGCCTCAATATAGCTCAGGGGACATTGAGCGAGAAAATATAATATAGCGGAATTCCATGCATAAAATCGACAGCCGAATCAAGAACGTAGAGTCAATAGGGGTACTTCGATTACTAAAGCAGGCACGTAGGAAGAAGGAGGATGAGTAATTTCCAAGAGAAATGTGTTGTTCTTCCACAATCTCTTCCTATTAAAGGAGGCATTAACCAAAACATCCCCTTCTCCTATGTGCCGACAACCTGCATGTCAATGTTCTATGCAGTTTGTGCGATATTCTTGCTCAATAATGAGCTGCGGGGCAGAAAGCTTCTTAGGAAAGCTTAGAATAATCACCTCGACCCGTCAGTGAACGCTAAAACACGGCTGACCGGGAACGCGGCGGCACGGCGCCAGCCGGCGCGTGGTGCTAGTGTGCGCGTAACTAACGGGGAGACTTCAACGCCTGGCGCCGCCCCGACAGGCTTCCGTTCAACCGCTCGCAGCAGGCTAGGTTTTCGTCCCAGATTTTTTTGATTGGTATCCTACGGCTTCAAACATGCCAGGGACCAATAAAATTTAGTAGTGAAGACGATTAAAAAAATCAAAATTCGACGATACACCCTAGTTGGCACTCATATATAACAACCACGACATTGGACACCTTACAACGCACATAGCGCTCCTCGCAGTACCCAATAAGCTCATAACACTAAGAAACAGTTAACAGAGATATATCACACCGTGAAGCATTGCTCATCACACGAAATCCGCTCCTCATATATAATTCGGAATGACTCGCTCTATATGATTGTGCGACATAACCGTAACGTAAGTTATCACAAGCTCTCGTCTG